TGGGTTTTTTTTTTTTTTTTTTTTTACCCACAATGCCTCATTAAAACGTGTTTAAAAAAAAGTGAAGCTCGGATCAAGAGTGTAAAAGGAGAAAACCAGATCCAGTTTTTCTTTTTCTCAGTTTGAAAACTATGCTTAGCATAGCAACCCACGGAAGAAAGCGTATCCATTCTGTTTTTGCTAAAGTTTTGATCTTCTTTATTTTTTAAAACTTTTAAATATAATATTAAGCGAAACAATTTATTTTTTTTAAATCGTAAATATTTTTCAAAAGTTATTAATTTCTCAGTGTCAGTTTGCACTCCTCTACATGTACATATGTTCCATATATCTACATTTATTGACCCTTATGAGTGTGTTTACTGATGACAAGCTCTTAACAAATCAATATAAACATGTGTATTACTTCAGATTTATATTTAAAAAGCAAATCTAAGTGGACTTGATGAAAATATTTGGCTCCTTTATAACTTAAAACGGCAAACTGTGTACATTCCCATTAATGTAAAAGTATTTCAAGCGTCTTGTTTGTCGTGTGCTGACTGGATCGGTAATTTACTCCTACGTCTCCGCATAAAAAGCTTTTATGTCAAACTGCCTCTTGACATATATAATACTCTCCTCAGGAGGCGTTCTCGCTTTTATTTCACCTTTTAACATTTCTGACAGTTTGATGATAATGAACAGAAGAGAAGATCTGCGTACTTGACATTAACAAGAAGAGAACAAAACAAACGAGCCGTGCCCACAGAATGTCAAGCTTCAGCCGGAGCTGAAGGCAGAAGATGTGTTATTAGCAAACAGGCTGTCAGAAAAACACACCGACTTTGCATTTTATTGCTGGAATCCAAAAAAAAAAAAAAAAAGAATTCTCCTGATAATTGTATATTTTATCTGACTGAATGTGCAACTGATTATATTTTACTCCACCTTATGGAAGTTTGCAAGATTCCTATAAAATCTTTGCTGATTTACTGCATGAATAACAAATGCAGGGTGTAGTCAGAGACCTAGTGTGTGTTTGTTTGTTTTATGCCAGCAATGAGGAATGCTTGGGTCTATAAGGCAAGAAATATATTTATATGGTTAAACACAGGCATCATTTCCTCTCTAATTTTCTGTTCAACTCCTCAGACGTCAATAATATTTCATAAATCTCGACCTGTTTCTTTTCCTTCAGGGTGTCCACACTGTAAAAATGCCGTCCCTCACTTCACCACAGCAGCAGAACTCTTTAAGGAGGACCGCAAGGTTAGTTTTCCTTTTCACAATTTTAAGACCATATAGTTGAGTGATGAGCAGCTATGTTGTAATTATTTTTCAGCTTTTTGTAATAAACTGGAGGAAGTACAGTTCTGGGAAAATAAATTTGCCCACTTACAAATTTCTTCTGTTTTCTTTTTTTCTTTTGGATCAGAAACAAACTTTAATATCATAGAGAGTTCAGTTAATATAAATATAATTCCACTGTTAAATCACCATAACTCAACAACAAAGAGCAGAAATGGCATTGAATGTGAGTTCAAAGACAAAACCACTTCCAAAAACCATCTTGATGAATCCAATAATGTTTGGTAAAATATTATAAGGACTGACGAGATAAATGCATCTCGTTACATTTGATGTGAAATAAAAAAAGAAGAAAACATTTCAGAGAAAGAACACCACGCTAACATGAAGTTGGTAATGAATGGGGCTCCTTTAGTTGGACAAGAACTGGGTGACTTGCCTAGTTAATAAAACCATGAATTATGCTCTATTACTGGAAAGTCCTGAAGGAGAATATTCAACCATAAGCGTCTGACCTGTTGCCCTCTGTGACAAAATTGGTTATTTTGATTTACTGGCAGTGACTTTTTTCTTGTTTTCCTTCATAAATTACATAATTATTAAGAAAATACTGCTTTTAGTATTTCCTCAGCTTATCTTTAAAATGACTGATGGTTTTAAACATGGGTGCGATAAATAAACAAAGCCATTCTGAACTTCTGAACTGAATATAAATGCTTCATTACATCACCGGTGATGAAGAATTACTGAACTGAATGACTCGGTTATAAGTCTTTGTAGTGATTTTATGTAGTGTCTGCTGCTTTCTGGGCCTCATGTAGGAAATCGCATTGCCTGGTCAGCACTCTGAAATGGTTTTATGGTGCGTTCACACCAAACACGTTACACACATCAAAAACACGTCCTACGCTTCACAGTATGTGGAGGCACATCAGACGCATCAGCTCCAGCCGTAGTTTTCTGTTGGATGCTCTTGACATGTCAAACGCTCCTAGCGGTTGGAAACGCGCCGCAACGGCCCTCGACGCGCTTCCACATAGACATGCCCGACGCTCAAAACGCGTTTGATGTGAACGCACCATGTGAGAAAAATCTTTGGCCCGCAAATCATAATTGAGTTCAGTTCTGAAGTTTTAATTTAACAAGTTGATCTTTTTGTTCTTAGTTTACATTGAAAACCTCAGAGTCATGGAAGACTAGAAGCTGATCCCACAGTTTACATTTATTCCAAACAACTGGCTTATTTATACACTTACAATGACAACTTTTGAGTAGCTACGGTGTGTAATTGCAGGTTTTTTTATTATTAATCTGCACAAAAATCGTTCAAGTTCAACTTGAACGTAAACAAAAAGGCATCATCCCGTGTTTTGTTTTTTTAAGTCGTTCTAGTGCACAACGTCGTCCGTTCCTAATAATTTTCTCTTCATGGCAGTCAGGAGAATGATCACTTTGTTCCACCCCAGGCCGTTTCATAATACGTTTTGCCCGTTTGGGGGCTTGAAGGTTATTGGAGGTTCATGCAGTCGCAACAGGATATGCTCATCTTTCATCATCTCCACTCCGTCTCATTACTGTTCGTTCTCCTTACGCCCTCCCCTTCGCCCCAACCCACCCACTTCTTCTCGTCGCTGTTAATAAGCTCGGACTGCTTGGGTTTATTTCCAAACCTTCCCAACTCTGTGACTCACCAGCTCTCTCTCTCTCTCACACACACACACACACACGCACGCACACACACTGAGGAAATGAAAGAGACATGTCTCGCAATTCTCATCGCAGCAATCTATCATCTGAAACTGAGACGGGGGGACGAAAAAAAGAAACGAATGTTTTTGGTTGTAAAGCTGCGTGAAGAGCGTTGACATTAATTGCTCGGTGAGCTCAGGCGATGTTATGATCTCATTTGTTGGCATTTTTCAAAATCGTTGGCAGATGGCGTGAAACGGTGACATATCCTAGGCAACTTAGTCATGGATTGTTTTTTTTTGAGGCAATCCTTTGCAACATATAACTGAGACATTAATCATAAACAGATGAAACTGAAATGTTTTTGTCCAAAGTGTTCGCTGTTGTTCGTCGTTGTCTAAATGCTGAGTTTAACCCTGACACACAGAGCTCTCCACACCTGTTGGCACTGTTGGTAAAGACGTGCAAAAACCCTCAGAGAATCCAACCTGTGATTAACTTTATTTATTCAGTGGAGAACAAAAACAATTTTTGCCCATCTAACCACTCTAAAAGTAAGCCTTTTTTTTAAAATGTACGCTTTACTTTTAAAGTTGTTTCTCAGAACATTTAATTATTGATCCCAGACGTTGATGTTTTGACACAGGGCTTGTTTCTCTTCAACAGCCTTCAGATTTGTGAAATAAACCAAAACTTTTTTATCCTGGAAAGTGAGCAGGATGAAAAGAAATCTTAAACTCTTATTGTTGCAGAGCTTTGATAACCATTAGACAACGACTGATGAGCTAGCCAGTTGTTCAAAAAGTGATGCCTGGAAAAGATGCAATCTTTTAGCCATAACTTCATAAACACATGGAGTTTGATTAACTCTGCTGGGATTTTAACTGGAAATATGAGCTTTCAGGAAACTGAAAATTAGTCATCAGGTGGAATTTCAGCAACACAATGAATACTGTAACATACACTATACTACCAGTAAAAATTATGAAGAAAATTGTTTAAATATATATCTATGTAGTCTTTGTGTTAAGTCAACAAATTAATTTTTGTGTTCTATTCAGCATAGTTAGGAATAAGTGGCTTTTGGGAAAAATATATGTAAAATGGAAAATGTTTAGGCTACAATGGAATAATTTCATGGAAGTAGGGCATTTCAGGAGACGCCTGCAATGGTGGTTTCCTTGTCCAACAATGTGTTGAAACAAAGAAATCTTTGGTTCAACACAACCAACACGAGTAGTGGGTATACCACAACAAAAAATGACAGTCCCTCAATGGCGTGTCACACGCTCTTAAGCATTAATTACATTTTGACAATGGCCTCATGCTGTTCACAAGTTGACTTGTTGTCTGCTGAGGCATGCCATCCCATTTTCACAATGACTTGAGCGGTTGTTGAGGTTGTGGGGTACAGAGTTGCGGACCTCTACACACCAACTCAGCCAACCCCAGAGGTTCTCAGGTCTGGGGAAGGTGCGGGCCACTCCACTGGAGGTACTCCGGTCTCCAGCAGACGTTCCCTCATGATGAGATGGAGCACCGTCGACCATGAAGATGAAATTAGGCTTGGGTTGTTAATGCTGGGATGCAATGACTGGATTAATGGTGTTGAGGTTATATACAGTTTACATGGAAAGGTTATGGTGACTTTCAGGGCCACCCTAAAATTACATGTTAAAGTCAAATAACCCTAACTTTTTCTAATTAGTATGTCCTCAAAAATCAACACAAGACAAAGTTATCCGTCTTCCATGGCCAATACAAGTCCTGTAGGAGACCTGTGGGATGAACAGGAAAAATACAGTAGTCTGGATTATCTTAATCGATGAATCACTAAGGATCCCTCTCTATTTGCTCCAACATTATGAATGAAAGAAATTGGTTGAAGAAATAATGACCAACAACATATACAGATATGTCAATATTACAAGAACAAATAAAATGCTGAACAGAAAAATAAGTGTAGCAAGGAAGCACAAGTTGAGAATCTAATCTTCTTTCATTCCTCTTTCTAAGCAAATTGGGTTTCCTTATTATTATTTTAAATCTGGCGTCTAGGCACCAAAGCTACTTCAAACGGTTTGGCATTGCTTCACTGTTCAGCTGTGGGGTTTGGATCAGCTTCTTGATCCGAGTCCCACAGTGAAACGTACCAACCAGAGGGCTATAATCTCTGTTGTTTGGACACAGAACTAGAAGTTGATGATGTTTTCTGTTAGTCAACTCCTTGCCCCCACCCTGTTGCCAGAGGATGTTTGAAGTCTTGGTAAACCTGCAAAGTGAGCCTGTGTTTACTTGGCACTCTCCATTATTAAACATGCCAAGCCCCAGTGTAACACACCAAGCCGGTGTTGATCAGTCTATTAGTTGCCCTTGCCTGATTCACCAAAGACAAACACAGGCTTAGCTGCCGCTTTGAAGATTCAAACAATTAGAACAACCAGGTTGCGCTGCGGTGCTGCAGAGCTGGAGCTGCGTGCAGGAGTTGTACTGAGCCGCTTGTCTTTTTCCTCAATTCCAAACAATGACTAAATTAAAGATTCACACTGGTTCAAACAGCTTGTTTTAAAAAGAATAATCTCTCTGCTCGAGCCGTAAGACAAAAACAGCATCATCCAAAAATCAGTTTTTCTTAGGATTTGTCAAACAGCATCTAACCCTTCTGCTGACAATGTAGCTTTATGAGTAATTTAGTGAACAGAGATGTGCCTGGTCAATTATCTAAATATGGTGATTACTAGTAATTTGGCACAGATGCCTAATTTTATTCAACTGAAAGGTAACCAACCACCAAAGAAAATTAATGTTTTCAAAGTTAGCAAAAGTTAATTAGCTAATTAGCAATGCTATTCACGCTGTAGCTGAACATGACGATGCTTTGTTCTCAACATCATCTCAAGCTGTATGTTTAAAGTTGTTGTCCTGCTGAAAAGTGAACCTGTACTCCCAGGAATTCTGTTTTCTCCCAGGATTGTCTAGTTTTAGCTCAGTTTATCTTCCCATCATCTCTTACTGCTTCCTACTCTTCGTTGGGGAAACACCCTCCCACAGTGGCATGCAATCCCAATAAATTGCAAGGCAAAATTGGCTGCAAGTGTGACAAAATGTGTACAAGTTCCAACTGTATGAAGACTTTAGTAAAACGCTAACAGTTTGATACTTTTAACACTGGAAGAGAATCATGGAGCACGAAGTTTCAAGATTCCTTCTGTTTCTTTTAAACACTGGTGCGATCTCAGAAGAGTTGTTTCTGTGAATGCACACAAACACTTTTCAACAGTGTGAGGTAAGATGTGCCAAGATGTACTATAATCCCAGGACAGGGGAGATGCATTGTACTCCTTTGAAATCACTATTCTGAATCAAGTTTAAATGAATCAAAGGGAGTATGTGTTACAACACCTCCTTTATCAAAGTTATGTTCTCTTTCTTATCAGATACTACCTGGTTCACATCCATATCTGCTCAGCATACGCGTTTAGCTCTGCTCAGACTCTTATCCCTACGTGTATCAGCCTGCGCCCCGGTGTACTGCCGGGTGGATTGAAACCAGGCCAATTGGTAATTTAGCAATGCAGTAAAATTGCTTGATGTGGGAGTCCTCTGTCACTTGAAGATGGATCAATAATGGAATTAGCAGGAGCCCTTTGAAGAACAACAGCTCTACAACTTCATTTTCTCCTGTCAATTCGCCACAACTCTGATTGATTGCAGAGGGTCAGAGCAGCAGTATGGAGCTTGTAGTTACGCTCCTAGCGTTTGTTGTCTCTGCCGCCCGCTGTTCTTTTTTTTGTGTATCTCAAGCAGTCCCAACCCGGAGGTGTTTGGAGACGCGGAGGACGTCACGATGCGAAAGCAGTCAGGCTGATCGCACGACTGTGAATTTTTTTTTTTTGTTCCGCTGCCCAACAAACTTACCCAACACTTAGCAGCATTTCTAATAAACATATTTCCACTTGAGCAACAAGTAGTTGTATTTGCAGAAAGCAGCGACAAATCTCGCAATACCCAAACAAAACATTTGTTACATTACAAAAGGTGTGCAAAATAAAATCAAATGTATTGTTCCTTCTGCAGCATTTTGTTATGCACGAGCGGGCAGACAGGAAGCGATAACTTCACAGTGATAGCCCCGGGCATCCTGAAAGAGGGTGACATTTGGGCTGTCCAAAAAGACTTCCTGAGTGAGCTATGTATCAGTGAGAAGGCATTTACGCCTCATTGGGATGGCTTGTCACTAATCGATTCAACATCCACGCAACATAGGTCTCTCTTGTTGTTTTTTTTTTTTTTGATGTCTCAGATGGATTGTTGTCAGGTTTTTATCTTGCACGTTCAGTAAATAGAGCACAAGGCGACTTTACAAGCAAATAAAAGGAACAGGGAGTCTATATATTTAATAAGGTTACCTTGCCGCCTCTGTCAGAGCTGCTGAATAGAATTGATTAGTATTTTTGCACACACGCCCACACGTTTGCCTGGCTACCTTTTTGGGGGACTTTCCATTGACTTCCATTCATTTCTACAGCCTAAACCTTACTCTTACCCTTTTCCTAACCCTATCCATTACAAACCAAAGCTTTACCCTATCCAACATATTATCTGTCAGGAAAATGTTCCCCACAATGTATTTACAAACAAACACACACACACGTTTGTCTTGCTATGTTTGCGGAGACTTTTCATTGACTTCCATTGATTTCTACTACAGAACCACAACCAAAACTCAATTCACAACTTGGAATTGAGTTTTGAAATGTTTCTTTGGGAGCAGTGAGTCCCCACAATGCATCAAATACAGAATACCTACCCACACACAACAGGATTCTAGTGGCTTTGATTAACCAGTGATGCTTTTCAACTATAAATTTTACTTTTTCCTATAATATATACAGCTCTGGAGAAATGAAGAGCCCACTGCACTGAACTTCATTGAAAACTTCCTGGTTATTCCACAATATTGTTTCTAAATGAATATCGACTTGTTTTCTTTGAATCATTTGAGGTCTGGAAGTGCTGCGTCTTTTTTGTTATTTTGTCCATTTCTCATTTTCTGCCAATAAATACTAAATTTATGGAATTTCTTGGACATGATGTTAGTAGTTCACAGAATAAAAGAACAACGTTCATTTTACTCAAGCATATACCTATAAAAAAAAAAAAAATCAAGAGAAATTGATGATTTCAAGTGTTCTCTTAGAGCACACACTATCATGTTATTGACATGTGTGATCTGAGTTTTCTGACCATTAGCGTTGCTTTCATTTAGATTGTTTATGCTGCTGTGGACTGCACAAAAGGACTGAATCATGACCTCTGCAAGCAGGAAGGGGTGGAGGGCTACCCAACGTTCAACCACTACAACTACGGCAAGTTTGTGGAGAAATACAACGGAGATCGCGGGGTAAGCTCCATATTTGGCCTCTCCAGTGTTTTAATACACTCATCGGAATCGCATCAGGCTTTACTGGATGGATGTCACAATTAGAACTACTATATTAAGTCCACTTGTTCCTCCTGCAGCAACGCAGACCCACACCATGACGCTGCCACACCCTTACATCCTTCCCCATGTGTTTCTTTTTACTCAAAACCCTGACAGGTCGCTGGATGAATGGCTGCCCTGGCACACAGCCACCGGGCTTAGCAAGTTTTCTGTTGGAAACCTTGTGCTCATGTCTATAGTAGCACAATTCATTAAGAGAAATGTGGTATTAGTTACAAAGCTGTCTCATGTAAATTAATGTGAAAATATCAGCTTAAATGAATTATTTATGGCAAAAGCTGTTTTAGCGGATTGCCTTGGCCATGTGCAGAGCTCCAGCTGAACTTTAAGCGGATCATTAAATCAAGGGCAGCTGAAACAATGGCAGGTGGATCTTAATATGTCTGATTTGGCAAAGCAGAGGTTTCTGTAACCTGGCACGGCTGGGTACTTTCTCATCGTGCAGGCAGGCCAGCTTGAAGTAAAGCATAGTGACAGAAGATTGAATTACAAAGTTACAAAGACTCATTAATGCACTGAACTCTGGGAAGTCTAAAGCTGAACTGAACTTTTCTAATCATTCTTTCACTTTGCAGGAAGCAGGCTTCATCGGATTCATGCGTAACCTCAGAGGCCGCGACCAGGAGAAGGTGGTCAAGAGGAAGGAGGAGCTCTGAGGGAAGGGGGAGGGGCCGCGCGCACGGAGGAAAAGCAGGGGCAGGGAGGGGAGGGCAATGCACTGTGACCCTTGAGTTTGGCGAGGGCCCTTTCGGCACTGAAGTGGGAGACTCAATGACCTCAGCGAAAGGCTATTTTTTTATACCATGGTGATCTCATTTGTAATGATACCAAGAGTACTGACCAACCACTTGAGACTTCTTTCTTATGGATATTTTGATGGGCACAAAATTGATTTAAAAGAAAAAAAGTTTTTTTTATTTGTTTTGTTTGGTTTTTTTTGCCCAATCACTGTGACTTGAACATGTTAAAAGCTACACCCTATCTATGCAAACGTGAGCCCTGCTTCTGCCTGTGGGAGTCTGTGCGATCTGACTGTGGTGGCGGTCAACGTGGACGATGCATCTTCCGTCGCTACGCAAGAGGGTTTCATATGATTATTTTCAACCTGGCACTGTCTTCACAGATGATCCATGCTGATTTTTTTTCTTTTTTTTTTTCCACGTTATTTAGTACGTCAGTTTCTTTTCTTTTTTTTTTTTTTTTTGAAGATCATTTAGAATAAGTAAGTCACGTGTTTCCATTTAATTATCCATTTCTGTCTAAATCCAGTTCAGCTTGGTGGCGTCATCAGGTTGACATTTTCCCAGGCCTTTAGCAAGGACCAATAGAAAGACATGTAAAGTAGCTGAGATCCAAATCGTAGTTTTTATAAGGTTTGTTGTTCATCTACTTGAACTTTCAAGTAAAAAAAAACAGAGAAAAAAAAAACATTTTTAGCTGTACAATCAGTAATAATCCAAACTAGGCAACATGGGGGACTAACGGGTCAATGTTCTGTCTCTGTCTCCAAAATGGTGGCCTTTTGAAAATTGAATGTGAATTATCTGAAACTGCAAAATGATGAAAATAAGTGGAAGAGAGTCGGAGGCCTGGTGTGACTGCAACTTGAACCAGTCCAGCTAACGTAATCATGTATTTATCTCTCACAGCTGTGCTGATATTTTCTCTCTGGCTTTTTGGTTTACTGCTCGCTCATAACGAGGTTTCATGAATATGCTAACAAGGTGGAGGGCTCCTTTACATTAGCATAGACGCTACAAAAGGTGTCGGGATTTGATTATGAAAGTTACCTTTTCTGACGTTGTTTTGCAGAAGTACTCACTGCCTTCGAACATCACATCAACATTCAACACGTTTTCTTGGGCATTTTATTAGAACAAAAAGTAATAAGTTGTGAAGTGGAAGGAAAATGATGCATGGTTTTTCAAAATTTCTAAAAAATCCAAATCTGAGATTGAATTCTTTATCTATTCTTTGGGCAAAGTAACTCTGGCTCAGTCAGACTGGATGGAGAGCATGGGTTAACAGCAGTTAATAAGTTTTACCACATGTCTTTTGTTGGAGTTAGCTCTGGACTTTGACTGAGCCATTGTAAGAAACAAATATACTAACTATTCTTCCTAGACTGTCATCTTGCTAGAAGGTAAACATCTGCTTCAGTCTGCCTCTGACCAGCTTTCCTGCCCCTTTAGAATAAGATTATCCCCACAGCATGATGCTGCCGCCACTGTGTTTTCACCTTTTAAAGGCTATCGGGTTGCACTGGTTTTGATTTAGGGGCATCATATTATACGCACACACCAAGTCTTCCAGGTGTTATTTCAAAACCAAAACCGTGTGTCACTTTTGTTACACTTCTCAATTGTTAGTCTGCTGCATAAAATCAAATGAGTAGTTTTTACGTTCGTGGCTGTAGCATGAGTAAATGTGGAACAGAAACGAAAGTGCACAAATACTTTTGCAAGACGACGGGTCATACGAAGTGATTCTATTTAGATCTTACCTAAATGCAGAGCTGGATCCCTTCAGACTTAGTCCGTGAGCAGTGAGCTTTGTGGCTCTGCAGCCTGCTGCATGTGACCGTGCTGCGTTCATTGACTCCTCTCTATGTGGATTGGTTTGCTCCAGTCCACATCCGCCTGTCCCAGTCCCGGATCTTCTCGAACACATCTAGACGCTCATCCCCCTGCTGTTGCGTCTCAGCATCATATTTGACTCATCATTAATACCTTTTTATCCCTAAAATCATTCTTTTTTTATTTTGTTTGTTTTCTAACATTTGAACTCCTGTCTGTTGCTCTGTTTGTGTTTATTAATCAAAACCTTTTCCTTCCATACAAATACGATTCTCAGGGACAGTGTAACACAGTTAAAAAGGGAATGCACTTCTTTCCAACTGAATCATTCTGAGCCCTTAGGCCACCGTACTAAATATTGTTTACATTTATATCTCAAAAACACACACTTCATTTGTTTTCCCCTCTTTTTTCCTTCGTAACTCGATCGAGGCGTGTTGGTAGTAGAGGTTACTGAACCCTTTATTGTAAAAGACCCAATATTTTTTAATAACTTGTTCCAGTGGAAATGACTGAAATGTTCTGGCTGGAACCAAATACATTTTATGCCCAGTTGTGATTTCATAGTGTGTGTGAACGTCCACGAGTGTTTCATGCAATGAGGTGGAAGAGGACACGCCGCTGTAATTAAGGTGGCGTCCTCATCTCATGAGGCAACAACTGCCTTTCATTCATCTTTCCACTGGTTTATTTTCAGCAGCCGCCCCACTGACAGTGTACGTTTGTTGAATAATCGAGAAATTTCTTCCCAAAGGTATTCATGTTCTGTGGGTATTTTTTGCAATTTATGCCAAGAAGTCATTGTTGCCTTTTGTTGATTTTTTTTTGTTTGTTTGTTTTTCCTCTGTCCCCAGCCATATGTACAGTTGTGACCCTTGCAGTAAGAAAGTAAAATAAAGCCAAACATTTCCAACATTTTGTTTTACCTTTCTATGGAATAAATGGTTCTTTTTGTTAAGCATTTGCATGATGTTGACATTTTTAGCTGGTTTTATTTTTTTGTAATTGCTTGTGAATTTGGTATTGACGTTTATTGCAGCAGGAAAAATGGCAAAGTGGAGCCGGACTGTCAGAATGCAGCGTCAGGATGACCTTGTTGGGTTGCTGAGCTAATGGACCGTCCTGGTTGATGCAGGTTTGACCTTGTTTTTAATTTTCTTTGTCATCCTTTGAAATCTTTGAAAGTTGAAGCAAATCAACCAGATGGAAAATCTCCACATACGTGTTGCTGATCCATCTGATAATTAGCCCTCCCAAAAGATCTCATCAGAATAGGTGGTGTATGTTCATAGAATGAGAGTGAAATGGTTTGACATCATAGTTTGGATGCATTTAGTAAACAAGTAAATCAAATTAGGGTCTTTTAATTAAATTTCTTCAGTTTTTGTTTCATAAAAAACTGCATTAGAAGTGTCAACTGTGCATTATTCAGTAAATAATGACAATGCAAAGTTGCATTTAAATTTGCATTAAGTCAATTAAAATTGTCGACTTTGCATTAAAATGACACTTCATAACAGTCATAAACATTGATGAAGACTCCTTCATGTTCATGACAGTGTCATGTCAGTCTTATGCACACATAGTCAAATAAACTGTTGCCAAATAAGGTGGATGTAAAGAATCCTTTAAGCTATGATCACATCAAATTGGAAGTTTGCATTGATGCAACTGAATTACTTGACTGCATGCATATATATGTAAATATATTTGTTTGTTTACACTGTGAGTGCAAATGACAACTCCGTCTTCCTCAAACCTGCCACTTTCTGCATTAAAACACTGAGCCCTGTAGATATTCATCAACCTGTCAGCTGCAGCACACATCCATCATCCACTTCCCCCATGTCTCTGGCTCTCACACACACACACACACACACACACACACACTTAGCCCAAGGGTGGGTTGTGGAGCATTTCCCTTCAGGCTGACACATTGTTGTGCTCTGGGGAGATTGCAGAGGAGGTACGCGTGAAGGACGAGGCCACTAACCATCTCTGCGCTGCTGTTTTCAATTTCTTTGTCACTATTTTTTGTCTTTTTTTTTCTCTCTCTGTCTCTTTTTTTTAGTTTTACATTTGAAGAGAAAATGATGCAAATTGAAGAAAATGCTGATGTCAGTGAATGGCCTATTTTAGATCTGAGTGGAGCACTAAAACTTGGCAAGCCATAGATAAATACTATTTATTATTCTTTTTTTGGGTGTGTGTAGTGCAACCCTAACTTAAAAAAGAAAATGTTTCTGAAAACATTGGAATGTTTTCAGAAACATTGAAAATCATGGTTTCTGCTGGTTTTTTTGTTGATGAAACCAGATACTTGGAGAAGCATTGTAACTCTAAAAAGCTTTAGAATAGACTGTCTTTATAACAATGGTAGTAAGGTTATCAATTTGTAATTATCTATTTCCAACATTAATTTCTTTTCTAGCTTTGTTGCATGAGGTATTTTCTTTCATTTCACCTGTTCTATTTAAATTACTTTAATTTTAGTTTGATGACTAACTGCATGGTTTTCATCTGACATTAAACCAAATAAAAAACCCTCAGAAGGCATTTAACGTCCTCAAACAAAAAGTTAGTGAAATGCAAAAAGAGAAATTCATATGTAAATAAAGCACAATTTTGTTATAAATTTTATTTTGCGTGTTAATGTGAGGGCACTCTTAAATTATTTTTCACCTGGTAAAGAACATAATTTATGATATGGTGTGTAAGTTCAGTTATGCAAGTGTATGCAAAAAAAAAAAAAAAAAAAAAATCTGCATGTTTTTACCTAAAACTGGCTTACTACTTTTTTACCCATAATGCAAAGCGAAGCAGCCACGTAAACGTCACCGCCTGCTAGCTGCGTGTGATTCCTGTATGCGTAACATGCCCAGTGCAGCCTATTACACGTAACTACATGATGATAAACGTCTTCAACAGGTACAGTGTTTGACAGATAGCTCTGTCAGTGTGAGTTCATTCTACTTTGAGGCTACAGCAAACCAAAGCAACTAACTGTTAGCTGCCGGGCTAGCCGATTCTGCTAACGTTGCTAGCTCCCTTGCTCTGGTCTCTGCGGGTCAGAACTTCCGTTTTCTTGTTGTCTGAGTCGATATTTTACAAGATATTAAACTCTTTTAGTACTTGTAATCCGTCAGTTCTTCGGCTATTTGATTTATAGCACTGTTATGTCCTCATAAGTCCGACAATGATAGTTAAGTTAGCGCTACCTGCCCTTGCTATGCTTCTACCAGTCACTCCAGTCTCTTGTTGTTGAGCTCAAACGTGACTTTAAATTGCAATAAAAAGGAGGTTTAATGTTGAATTCTCCGAGGACGCATGTAGTCAGTGTTTCACATCACTTCCTGTCAGCGTGCTTTCATTCAGCCGTGGAGCTCTCCGTGGTTCTGACACAAAAGAACCACCCCACCTCCAGGTTTTGGGTTTAAATTGCATTAAAATGAGGATTACACCTTAAATGACCCACAACAGAATAACTGGGCAGCATATTTTAGTTGAGATTAGTCCTTGGTTGACTGTAGGGTTAGATTAGATTTTTAAAAAAGTCATATTTTTGGGTACTATCGAGAATTTTAACACCAACCTTATGCTTTTTAAGGTAAGTAACCACAGGTGTGTTAATTAACATTAAAGTTTAACTTGTAGTGTTTTATATTTCACCTAAAATTTGTTCAACCCCCTCAACTGGAACAATGTACAAGCTTGGAGCATTTTTGTGGTTAAAAGAAAAAAAGTCAAACAATAGCAATGAAATTGCTCAACATAACTGAAAAAAAATCCAATAATCACTGTGTGATATTGATTATTAATATTGTACAACTATATTGATTACTTTTTTCTGAAGCTATCCAAAAAGAAAATAGCCTTCACCTTACCCCATTTAAGATATTTGTATGACTGTGTATCCCTCAGTAGGGATTCTTGATATTTCTTAGTTGTTTATGGAGAATAATTCAGTCGTCAATTGTCTTTTTGAAGATTCTAACTTTAGGGTCAAAACTAAAAATTTTACCCCTTGTTTTACATCCGTTTACAGGAAATCAGTGGGACAGCCTCATCTGTAAAATGTCTATGGTGTTGTTTGCCTCTGTGGTTCGCGTGGAGGACGGCCTGCCCCTCTCAGCCTCCACCGACTACGAACAGGAGAAAGACCTCCAGGAGACGAAGAGGCACCTTAAGGGTCTCTCCAAGAAGCTCAACCAGTTCCCTGACCGCTGCACACTCAAGTCCGGACCGTACAATGTGAAGTATGTCCTGCTCTGTAGCATTTCTTTAAATGATATGAGATTTTAGAGGTAACGTGCTTTTGTTTTCAATGTTAACTTTAAATAAGTAGGTAGAAAACATTATGCAATCGGTTTTCTATAAAGTCCACTATGAAACAACAGTTTTGATCCTTCAGTTTCGTCTATAGTGATCGGGAACTGTGACAGTCTTCCTACTTCTTTCTTGTTTTTCTTTTTTAAACGTTTTTATTGAATGATGCCGTCTAATACGTGTAACTCTAAAGCCCTTTAGGCTTTCTGTTTCAAAGCATTATTTCTGAAAGCCCAGCTGGCGCTCTTGTTAAAGCCTTTGAAATGCTTTTAAACGGTGTTTGTTCGGCGCCAATTAGCGGTGATAAGAAACAGGACATGATCTTAAGGGGAATGAGACAGTTACACCTTTCAGCAGCAAGAGCTTCCTTTTGATTAGACTGTCTTTAATTTATTTAAGCCTGAAGCGTATGATGACTGAAGTGAAGGTCAGAATGACGCTTAGTTGTTGGAAATCACAACTTCGCCTTTTTTGGTGATGTGCACGACCATTCAGACGCTTTCATGTGACATATGATGCATTAAAATCGCTAGTCTTAAAGCTACATTAATTTTTTTTATGCGTTAACTGTATTAGAACATAATACAGATCTGACCAGATTAAAGGATATTCTAGTATTGCATTATAAATTGAAATTCTCTAATAAGTTCTCTTATGCAGGTCCGTCTGGTGCGGAAGCTTTGCAGATTTCACTAGTTACACAAAGATTTTTGCTTGCCTTTTTGCTTTTGAGATTTACTTAGCCAGATGTTATTGATTTTTATGGTTATTACATTAGTGAAGGTGATGCATGCCATCTGTCTAAAGACATTTAGGATATTGAATGGTGATGCTCCAGCTAACACCGAGCATTATCGTTTGACTGGATTCCAAAGCTGGAAAAGCCCAAATCTTGATTCATGAACAGTAGCCGTGTCACAGGACAGTCATAAAGCAAAATGCATGTCGGTTTGCATTTTTACTGCAGTGTCATTATTGAGGCTGCCACCTCTTTTCATAAACTAACAGGTATTGATGGGGAAAAAATATAGCTAGCATATATGCATATATGGTAGGTTTATTGTGTTGATAACTATAGATCTATAGTTGATGCACAGATGGTAAGTTTTATCGATCTACTTAAATCGGTGAATGACAGAGTAAGCAGTACTTGCATTAAGTTCTGTTCACAAAGTACTTTTTGGGAGATGTAACGAAACTAACATCCGCTGAGTCTATTGAAAGAATGGAGGAGCGAGTAAGAAAGTGTTGCCGTTTATGTTTATGTGGTTTATGTGAAGCTTTTCCTGGCTGCCTTCCCTCCATTTTCTCTTTGGCTTCATTCTGGCTAATTCCAATTATTTACTTTTTATTTTTTCTGCTGCGGCACAAAAGAGAAAACACATGCTGCAGGTTCTCAAATGAAGGCAGTGGTTTTGAATCCACCAGAAAATGAACTAAGTACAAAATAACCTCTATCTATGCATCAGAGCATTATGTCCCTTAATTTATCTGACTTTGCTAAACCTTTAAAAACATTAAAATGCGTTAAGATGCATGCCAAGTTCATGGACTGAACATAGTACGCATTGATGCATTTAAGGGCAAAAGGTTTTTTTCAGTTTAACCTGCTGATCAGGAGAAAATTGTTGCATACAAGTGATTTTTTATGTAGCCAATAGTTATGTAACTGGCCATGGTGTCCTACTTTAGTATTACAGTTGCATTGGGAAAACAAACAGCTGCCATTTTCTCAAAAGGTATTGAGTATTTGTTTGTTGATTTTTAATTGTGATCTTTTCCCAGCAGAAAGGTTTTAGTTAAAAGGAGTTTTATTGATTATTAAGCGGTGTTTTGTTTCGGACGTCCATCTATTTGTTGTCCTCTATTCAGTCTCCCTGTTTTATGATAAAGTCTCACTCCACTCAGTCAAATCTTCTACTTTGAAGACTGTAGCTGTCTGTGTACTGAAAACTGTACAATTATCTCTTGTTTACAGACAAGAGACGGTCATGAAAACACAATAAGTTACTCACTTTGGGATTCACTTCACGCACTGAACTCAGTAACAAGCTACATTTAAATCTACAGCTCTGGATTCCCATTTCAATTTGTTTCTCTAAATGTTTTTGTGCTGGTCTCATATTGTGCAATTACTGGCCGTCCTGTCGACCGACTCTCCAGTCCCTTTGTGTGCTGATTTACCTCTGACCTCACCAAAGATGGACAACAAACATCTAGTGCTGGGCAGAAGTGTTCTTGTAAAGTCAGCAAGCCTGCTGCTGTGACAAACATCTGTCTGTCACCTGTTACGAGGGCTTCTCTTTCCTTTAGACCCCAGCTCTAATAATTAGCGCATTAACACCAGCAACACCAGTATCTCTCTTCATTGATTATTGTTTTTTCTGTCAAATTGGTCTAATACAAGCCTGCAGGTTCATCTCTTACGTTTGTAGATATTTAACTGTTTGATGTTTCCCGTTTTGTCTCTGCTCTCATTTGTGCTCTGAGCTGTTTAGATAATGCAAGCCCTTTTTTTTTGTGTCAGGGAAATGTAATCTACTAATTTTATAAATTAACATTTCCAGGCTGCTAGGTATTGTGTCTGAACAAGTGAATGTTCATATGGTTATTGAGTATAATTAGCTGTGAAAGTGTGATTCTATTTCTTTACCTTTACAGCAGTGATGTACTTTAAACTGTGTTAAATTGGAGCATTAACCAGCAGAATTGTTACTGCTGCTATGTTACCCTTTTGTAATTTGTTGTCCTCGTTAGTTCTCCGGGGTTCCTGACCTGAGCAAAACAGCAGAATTTTCTGTTCTTCTCTCTGGGTTTTTAGCTTCATATACTCGCTGGGTGTTGGATACCTGATGGTCTGCTCTGGAAATTACCCTAATGTGTTGGCCTTCTGCTTCCTGGACGAGCTGCAGAAAGAGTTCATCATCACTTATGACTCCAAACGTATCAGCAGCGCCGTGCGGCCGTACTCCTTCATCGAATTCGGTAAGGCTCTTTTGGATTTTGTAAGCAATGGATTTGCTTTTATTAGCATCGCTGCTAAAGATGTGTGAAACGTCTTAAAGTAATTTAAGGTTTTATTGCAACGTTGTGATTTCACTGTGAGGTGTGTAGAAAAACCATGCTTTTAATTTGAGTACATTTATCGAGTGATGAGAAAAACAATTGTTTTTAAAACATTGTACAACCTGCCATTTTCCAACAGAGTAGCTCTTGGTCTAACGTTTCACAAGGTGGAAGCAGACCAATAAAAACTTCTCATCCTGGTCTGGATGCTGATTTTACCATGGAAGATGTTTGATTTTGTGTCTGTTTCTGTGCTGATTTTTAATGCAGGTTTTATATAATTATGCTGGCAACTTGGTGGAACACAATTTTATTTGTGGAAATTAATAGATTTTTATTTAAAATCTCCAGGAACTTCAAAAAGTCAATGATACCAGGTCGTGTGTAACAAGGTTTCCAGAGATTTTGGAGGAGAAACTGGCTGGCAGTATCACAGATGCTTTATTATTCCTTATAATAGACGTGAAGATTTATTGTATCGTTTATCATTTATGATGTTAAATTTATTATCATTATAAGAATTTAGATTTAGCGTTGTCATGATAAATTCCAATTGCCACTTTTATTGTTCTGACAATACTTCCACTAACTTGTGATGAAACCTCAACAACCAGCAAAAAAAATAACAATTAATTTAGCTTTATCACAGTGTATTTTCCTCAGTAATGACATACAATTGGAGTAAAAGATGGATTTTGGTCTTTGTCCAGGCATAGTTGTATCCAGGGAAACAGAAAGTGTATTAGTTTTACATCTGAAGAAGAGAAAACTGATGCAAATTGAAACTTTGTGCAACTTAATAAAAAGGAAAGTCATTAAACCAGAGCTACAGTTACGTTTCTTTTAGAGACTATAATTATACCACCGGTGTTTCATTAAAAATAACAATTTCTTCTCACCATCTGTTTTCCCCGCTACACTCATTTATTGTACTGAAACTAAAGCTTGTGTTTTAACCATTTGGTTAGATGTGCCGTTACAGTAAAAGCTGGATCCATCTTACACATTATTACAAATTTCCTTCTATCTGCGCTCTGCAGTGTAGGAGAAACAAGTAAAATATGAGATTAAAGCCGTTTGTAAAGATGTTTAGTCCTTTTAAAGACGCCACAGTTTCAGCCGTCTTGTGTTTACGCCAAACAGTGTCCTTATCTCTTATACGCTGAGTGTTTATCACCCGTTACTTTGCTCCCCGCGGTACTGAACGCCTTGTTGTTGTGCTGACTGTCGTCCCCCAAGACACCTTCATCCAGAAGACCAAGCAGCGCTATAACAGCCCTCGCTCCCTATCCACCAAGATCAACCTGGCTGACATGCAGACAGAGATCAAGCTGCGCCCGCCCTATCAGCTCTCCCCAGAGGACCTGCAGGCTATCAATGGATTCTCGGTGCGAGCCGCTTCTAAATACAAGGGCATAGGTAGGACTCGAGCTGCCACCGCACACAAAAAAGCTTTTCTAACATACGCGCCTTGTCCCTGGAAATTTCCATTCACATTCAGTGAAGGTTGGGTGGAAGAAAAATATAATGAAATAACGGAAAAAGGTTAATATCTGCAACGTTCAAGAGTATGTGCTGATAAGAGCTGCTGCCTGGTACATTTTGCTGACATGCGTTTTGTTTTGCTTGCTCAAAAAATGTCGGGTCTCGTGTGTCAACCCGAATGCACCTCCAGTTTGCTCTTTCTTGATGAGTACAAGTCTGGTCCCTATCAGAAGTATTCACACCATTTCAGCTTCTCCATAACTTTCTCCCAGACCCATCTGCTGTGCAGATTTAATGGCAGACAGCTGTGGTCTGTTTACTAATGAATAGCCCTGTCTAGATAAGAAATCTACCTGGTTGATACATTGTCCCAGTAATTATTGCGATAACCAATAATATTGTTGTTTTGAGACGATTCATGCCAGTAATATGTTGATAATGGAATAATAATACAAGTTTGCCCTGTGAAAGACTAATAAACTTTTATTTTTTGCTAAGAACTCTTAACACTGGAAATAGAAGATATTTAAATATTCAAAATAAAACCAAAGACGACAAACAAAACTGAAATAAAAAAAACACAACGGAAGCCATAAATAAAATGAATTATGAACTCTAAAGACAATTGCCCATTAAGCAATATTAGTAATCAGAATGGAAATTATCGAGGTCATGTGATTAATTAGTTTCTTATTGCAGCAGCTTTACCATGAAGTCATTTCTGTGTGTTTCCACTAGCAAAGGATTTTGTTTCATGTCTAATTATGTCCTTCAGTTTTCAATTTTTGACAAAATCCTAGTCCTGCTGAAATCTTGCTGAAACTCCACTTTTTTAATTGTGTTTGTTTTGTTTTTACTACTCCTCTGTTGACTTTGAGCAGTTTTGTTCCTAAAATGATGATTCTGAGCATTTCTAGGCTGGAGGATGAAGTTCTCATTCAAAACTTACTTCCCTGCATTAGGATGTCCGAAACCTTTTGTGATTTCAAACACCTTTTGGCTTCAAAATGGTGGCGCGCCTGTATCCTGTTTCTGTATAATAGATGATTATTTTGCATGACATGAAACGAATCCAAGCATTTACAGTGAGTAATGCATGTTTATTTTTTCTCCCAGCCCCCACACAGATGTTGGAGCCGGCGACGCTTCCAGGCATTGTGTCCTGTGTGCTCAGCATCCTCTGTGGAGGCCTGAACCTGCTGAGAGGCGTCCACGCCATAGAGAGCATACTACAGGTTAGGACATACCGCAGGGGACATTTGGACACTTGGTGCAAAAACTTAAAGCATCTTTGGAGAACTTTGTAGTCCAGAAATCATTCCTCCAGTTTTCAAACACACCGAATGCACATTAAGCAGGTTATTTGTTTATGTAATCTTTAACACCATCTTTTCTCTGTTGCTTTCGATGAAAAATTACTGCTGCATATTTTAGTATTACTCTAAGGAGTAATATTTTTCTCTCATCATTTAACTGTGCTGACTGTAATGCTGTTTCTTGTGTTGCTATAAACCTGTCTGTAGAAATGCACAATGGGTCATTTTTTAAAAATGAATGTGGGGAAATTATTTGTCATGCTGCATAACTGGTTATCATCCACATAAGGTCTTCAATAATTTCTCTTCAGTTTATGGCAGAAATGTTGAGGATTTTGGTTAAGCAAGCTAGTATTTTGGAACAGACAAAGAAAAAGTGAGAGGAAAAAGTCATGCCACAGCATAATGCTGCCACTCCTGTGTTATTCTTTTAGTTTTTCTCCATAGACTAAACATCATCCTGAAAGGTTGGTTTGTTTCAACAGATCCTAAAATATTCCTGGACGCTTTTGTTTCTGTTTCGAAACACTGCTCCTTAGTTCAGATAGATTTTGAGCAGGGACTATTCATCAATACATTTCAGAAATTCCTGTTGCTCCATGACCTGTTTAGTTTTTTCTTTTTTCAAATCAAATATTCAGTTTTTGTGTTTTTAATTCCCTTGTATTTCCTCCACTTGCTGCGGATTATTTTTGCTTCCTCTCTGCTGACTAATAACTTTGCGTAATTATTCTGACCCTCTTGAAATTCTCTGAAGATAATGTGCTTATTTGATATTTATCAGTTTTGTAGAGCAATCATAAAAGGTGTAAAAAGTTTCAAGATGTCTTACGACGTTTCATCAAAACTCCTATCCCCCCTCTGTGAGCTTGCAATCAAAGTCAGTCGCATCATGTTCTGCAAATACTAAAACATATTTAAAGGGAACCAGTAAACCATTTCTTGTCACATAAAGAGCATGTTTGTTAAAATTATCCTGGCCTCTGTCTGTTTCCTCCCTGTGCAGAATGACGATGAGGACTTTAATTATGTGATTGCCTTCTTCCTCGGCACGGCGGCCTGTCTGTATCAGGTAAGTGATCGTCTGCGGTAAGAGCAGCCCATCGCCGGCTGACTAACAGCCCTGCACTTTACGGCTCAGCAGCTTGTCAGTTAGACAAACATTCGCTGAAGCTCAGTGGCTTTCGGGCCAATCCCTGCTCTATAAAACCTTTTCATCAGCTCCTTTTGAGCGGCTCCCAATGGCAAAATGGAAGCGCACAGTTTAGCCGACAGAACAGAGCCATCTCATAGGATTTGTTTTCGAAGACGCATCAGCGGCCAATGGCCGGTTCGTCCGGCATTAATTCGATGTGATCCCGTTTCTTTCAGTGCTACCTGTTTGCCTACTTCTCCATCTGGAGGAACAGCAAGTCCTTCTTGGCGTTTGCGCTCATCTGTCTGTCCAACATGTACCTGTATGAACTGAGGAACGTTTGGCAGATCCTCTTCCATGTAGCCGTGGGGGCCTTCATGACCCTGCAAATCAGACTGAGGCAGCCGCTGGGCAAAGCGCCAGACTACAATGTCTGACGAAGAGCAAAAAAAAAAAAAAGACTAACACGCTGTAAGTCAGGTGCCCCAGCGGTGGTCTGTCGGACACACTGGAAGCAAAAACAAGCCTTTCCAATTCACAAGGAGGAAGAGGAGGGGCGAGCGTTTCACCAGAGCATAAATGGATCCGTCTCCGTTCAGATTCGGAAAGGAAAGTCTGCTGCGCTCCGACTGCTTCACGGATTTTATTGGATTGCTTTTGGAAGCTGCCTCCTCTCTTTTATTGCGTGATGATGATTTATGGACTTCTTTTGCACGGCTCTGATTTAGGTCACAGGCAGGTTTGCAGGATGTCCACGGCTGCAAACCCCCTGCGCTTGAAAAGGTTTTCTTTTACTGCGTCCAGCGGAAAAAGAAAATCCTAATAAATTTATGTATGATTTCATCATTGCAATTAAAATGAAGTACCTCTCAGAAGGCATTGAAACTGAACTCATAACATTTTCCCTGTATCTTCTTGTTAAAGTAGCTCATTTGTCAGCCGTGAGGTTTGTTAAATGAATCCTGAAATGAATCCTAAAACTACATTTACCCACCAGCAGATATTTAATTGTCTTTATAACTGGAGTATCTCACTTTGTCTCCTTGGTTCAGGGCCTCTCGTTGAATTAAATTGGTCCGATCCTTGAAAACGTCGAAAATATGTCAGATACCGACAATCTGTTTGATTGAAATTAGACTGGATTAAATTTTATTTTATATAAAAACCTGGCTTTTGGCGTATCGGAGCTTTTCTCTCCCCTGCTCTAAGCTCTCTCAAAGCAGCAGCACCGGTTGCTGACTCGGCTTTATTCCTGACTTTGTGTGGGGCAGAAATTTTGACTCATTTTCTCAGCAGCTTTGTGTGCTTTCAAGGCATGCAGTTGGATCACAGAACCAAATGGACAACATGTATCGGGACGTTCCTTTAAGTTTATCTGAGGTTTGCTGTGATCCTCGCCCAGGTGGTTAAGATGCATCGAGACTTTGAAAACACAAACGCAGCCTCAGCACACCCTCAAATCCTGCTGGCTAATGTATGTATTGTGTTAGCTGGTCATGCTACATGACTGCAGATCGAAAGGATCACCTGAACTTGGCTTGAATATTTTAAAATTCTGTTAAATTTGACAGAAAATCTGAAAAAAGGTGCAATAAGGCAAAAAACATGTACAATTTGCAAAGTTTTAAAACGATTTCAGTCAGGGCATTTTCTGTTTAATGTTTTACGTTCTGTTTACGTCAGCATTTTTTGCCACTTTGTTGACCCACATCTCGTTTAAAATGTTTCTCTTTTGAAAAATATCTACATGGGATTGTATTACAAAATGCTTTATTACTAATGTCTGCAATGTCAACAGGACCTGCATCAAAGCTCAAAAGAAGCTCTGCAGTCCGGCCAAAGACTGAAGCTCATCTTTCTTTTCTTTGGTGTCATTTCCTCCTTTTTCTTTCCAGTCGTTTCAACTTTGGCTCACATTTAAAGCTATTTGGAAGTGAAGTCAGGAGAAATGAGATGGATATTAACTAAGCATAAAAACTTGAGCTTTTGAGGGCAGACGCCAGAGTGGGATTGTGCAAAGTATATCATTGTAATGACGTCTAGATACCAGTGCACATGCATAGTTTTTAAACTTTAAGAAAAACTTGAATGCTGGACATATTTTGCAAAAAGTCCACGTTGGTGTCAACATTGACAATTAGGTGGAGAGTGTGTTAGAATTTGCGTTGCCAGTTTGTATTTGTTTCATTTGTAAGAATATGTGGCAAGAAAGTGAAGAAGCAATCAGAAAACAAATCTTTAGACTACAAGAGATTAAATTGGGCTAAAACAAAGAAAAGCTCCAGCAGGTTGTTTTTTACTTTGATAGCAAGAGGTAACAACCTGAAAACACTCAGAGAAACTCTAATCTGAATTTGTTTTTCTTTTTTTTTTTTACCTTTCATTTATATTCTGCCTACTTACACCTTTGCTTTCTTTCAGTATTGGTATTTCTTCAGTAGAAATGTCCATTTTTTTGGTCTTGAGGTGAAACTATGCAACGCTGCCTTCCTGTTTGAGTCACTCAAACTTTAGTTTATTCACTAATCAGGGGTGAGACAGTGATATCTTTTTTGTTGTTGTCTTTTGCAAGAGCTCGTTATTTATTCAATGACTGATTTTGATACAAGATGTAATTGTTCATGAAATCCGTGTCTTGTTTTTTAATTGTCGCATTTTCATTCAGACGTGTATAAATGTGCACTTGTGATAGCATAAAGCTCCTGTCGGCTCAGACGGTTAGCAGCCGCATCCTTCCTCGCCTACATAGCCTCGAGCGTATGCCAGTGTCACAATGACTGTGTGAATAAACACATCCGTGTCGCCAACAGCCAAGATGCATCACTGTTTTCTTTACCTCCTACTGGGTTCTTTAGCTCAGCCATCTTTTTCTGCTACTTACAGCAACAGAAACTTGGAGTTTTGCGCTGCTTTCGCGCAGCTCATATGTAAGGTCTAACATTTACTTGGGCAGCTTTGGTCTCTGAACTTTTACGTTCTTATTGTGACCAAAGATGTGTGCAGAGGAAGCTGGAAAGAAAAACGAACAGATTAAAGCCTGGCAGCTTTACGCACATCTGGCATTAGAAGTTAACAAGTCGTTCTCATGCGATCTATTACTGCAGTCTGACTTTTACTCCGCTGTTCCAGCAACGACCACACCTACATGACCTCATGCCGGCTCTCGCACTGCACCGCTCAGGCTTTCTGGGAGCCGAGCGGAGTCTTGCGTCACCCACTCGACGTCCTGCATCTTTGCAGTTACAGTAAATATGTTGCGTGGGCGGTTTTGTCAGGAAAGTGACATTAGGGAAATTTATCGACCAGATTTGAATTGTAGATGGAAAATGAAAGAGTTTGAAGATGTCACCAGAAAAAGAGAGGCAATTTTTTTTTAAATAAACCATTGAATGTAACTTGTATAACAAATTAGCCATTTAATTAATAAATGTAAACATGGAACAAAATGAGACTTTTCTGCTGTTGGAGCGATATTGGAGCGTCTGCCTCCAGATGTTGAGAGAGCGAACGGCTTTAGAAAGAGACAGCAGCAGCTTTTACATCTGTTGTTCCCAAACGGCAAACATGTAAATTAACAAGTCAAGTTTCAGAAATCAAACGGAACCAAAGACAATGATAATGCTAAAAAATATACAAGCTAATAAAGATTAAAATACTCTTAACAGCTACCCTAACGATTCTGTTTGTGCTGCCCTCATACTGGTGAGTAATTGGAAACCACAAATCTAAGAATTGGTGACATTGTGGGCAGCGGTAATGTCTGGGCACGGTCTCCATGACGACCTATTCTGTGTGTAAGCCGTGTAAAAGGGAGTTGGTGCTTTCTACTGTCGCCACGTACATGACAAGCTGGTGACAGCCGAGCTCCCGATAGTGACGTGTAACCGCCTGGCATTATGAACGTCACTGTTAAAGCTGGTATTGGTTTGAAATGCGTGTTGTTGAATGTCAGTGTTTTCTACATCAGTGTCTTCCACTGGATTGATTTCAATACGCGTTTCTGGATATGAAAACGACAATGTTGTCTGGACATGTTATGAATCTGCACTGTGTAAATGAAATGCACTCTCACACCAAACATAATGCTTGAAGATACATTTTGTTCAAGCTGGGAAAATAATTTTAGACCTAAAAATAAATATCATAGCCTTATAAACAGTTGTTCATAGAGATGGATTTGGTCTGATGGAAAGTATGTATGAGAACTTATTTTAGTTTAACTGTTACAGTGATGGATGCAGATTATTTTTTACCTGACAATTAACAAGGGTATAGAGAAACTGGAAGTTGTGTGTTTATTTTTTCTCAACGTTTTTTGAGTGTCTTACTGGAGTCGACATCAAGTCTGAGTTCATATCTTAAGTTTCTGCTCTGCCAGTGATTAAAAGTTGTTTCACAGCTAATTAGCTGCTTTCAAATTACATTTCCTAATGTGCAACAACAAGCTACAGATTACCAGAACAATTAGAAACTCCTCACGACACATAAGAAATTGTAATTGCTGTTCGTTTTTTTTTTTCATCAAACTCATATGTAACATTACAAATGAGCTTTTTGAAAAACACTTGCGCTTTTTCTGGATTTTTGGATGTGCTGCTGACTTGAAAAACACGAGTCGTATCCTCATGTAATGAGTGATCATTTTGTGGCAAATTTCACCCTATTAGGGCAAATTTTCCTGTCCAAAAAAGGTCAGCGTCATTATGTCTGCTTCAAATAAACACTGCTGTGCTTCCTGACAAAATACAAAACTTGTTCTCTTCTGAACGCAAGAGGATTTCATGATCAGCTTAATAATGTTGACCAAGTATCAAACGTAATCAAGCAATTAGTGATTTGACTAAAATGTAAATGGGTATTAATCCAGTTATGGATGAACCAACAATCGGCTAGTCTTGTTTTCCAAGCTTTAATCCTTCATACACATGATGGAGCTCTGCTGCCATCTGCTGGTAGAAGTCAGGTGCACACTGGTATACCAACACACCTGTTTTTACACACAAGACTGAGTTGATCAGTTACAAGCAAAACATGGAAGAAAAAGGCTGATATGTACCTGTGAAACATCTCAGCAGTTTATTTTACTGTAAAAAAAGAAAAGAAAGAAAAATGGTGACAACAGAAACACCCCATCGTTTTCTCTCTGGAGCTGCTTTAGTCACAGATGCTTCATGTCCGGGTCGTTGTGTGACAAATAAGTAGGTGTAAAGCATTTAAGCTCAAGCAAATAAAAAATGAAAAAACACAAGCATGGGATCAATTTGGCACAACATTCAGCGAGTCAAATAAAACGGCATTGAAAAGTGTAGTTGTGTTGCAGCAGCAGAACAGCAGGTTACTGAGGCAATAATCACCTGGGTAGCATATTGCAGTTTTATTTTCCAGAGGCTTAAAATATTGATTTACCCATTTTATCCTACCAGAAAAGTAAAATAAACTTTTTTTTCCTTATTGCCAGTAACCAAATCAGTACGGCTGGGGTGAGACGCTTAAGATCTTTGATAACCTTCAATAAAGTTGAAAAAGTTTACAATTTTCCTTTTTTTTTTTTTACACACATTTTAATACAAATTATAACTATGTAATGTAAAATTGACTTGGTAATAAAAAAAATATTTGGCATGTAATTAGAGTTAATAACTAGAATTTGATACAAAAGAAAACATGATCATATACTTCTGAATTTTTTAGTAGTTTTAAGTTTATATTGTACAGAAAATTGAGCATAACAAACATATTTCAGCTGATTCAGTTTGTTTTACCTCAACCGTATAAAAAGGGTTTTTCTGCTTTAATTTCCACACTCAGAGGTTTCTGTTGAATGTTATGACAGAAAACCTTTTGCGATTTTTAACTCTTAAAAGCCTTGATATGTTCTTATTGCTTGTGTGTGAATAGATTTATTCCAGATGTGAAACATGAGGAATGCAAGTCTGAAATTTTATCTCTGGATTCCACTTATCTATAGTTCTCTATAGTTACTGCCTTTTCTTTTGGCTCATAACACTGAGAACTTCCTGAAGGGCTCGTAAAGATAAAACTTAATTATTTTTCAATTATCAGTGTATAATTTATGGATGTTTGCAAAAGCTGCTAATGTTTAAAGTGAGAAAGTAAATTTTTGCAGTTTTTGTGTGGGAAGAAGTCTAGTCTGGCAGGTCAGCAAAAGATTATGGCTAACAAATTACAGATTTTTTTTTTATTATTTAATTTCACCCCTTTCATATATTGACATATATTTGCAAATTTTAGATGGAAGATTTTCATATCTAAGTGCTATTTTATATTCTGAGGTGAAAGTTTGACACCATCCCGAAGAATTTTACATTACTGTAGTCTGACTCATCCAAGCAACGGGTGAAAGTTGCGCATGTGAGAGAAAGCAATGTGGAGCAAAGAAGCAATACTGAAAGAAAAACTGCTTTGATGAGAGAAGAAAAAAACAAACAAACGGCAGATTTCAAAAGTGCACATTTTCAATCCGTCTCTGTCAACAGGCTGAGCATCATCATGGTAGTCGCTCTAGAGTCCGCATTAAAGGCCTCATTGGAGAACATTGGACATTCATTGTGTCGTACCACCGAACCGAGCAAACAACGGGGGCCTGCAGGCGGCGCGGGGCGGCGTGGACGGCTGAAAGCACCGGAGTGCAAAATGGCGCCTGAGCACCACGGCTGACGCCTTTCGCTCCATCTAGTGATTCGACCGCGTTTTCCTCTCTGCTGTGACATTGAGACACATTAAAGGGGAGATCGTCGGCCGCTTCTAATCAGCCAGCAGTCGACTTCCTGCAGATTTAAAAAAAAAAAAAGTATGCTCGATTTGTTGAAAAGAGCAGGAGGGGAGAGGGAATCAGGCAACACCAGTGAGGGTTTCTGCTGTGTGCACATGTGGAGACACACTGTAGTTTATACATAGCTCTGTATTATATGAATGTAGAAAATATATAATCTTTAAATATCTCGTAGGGTTGGTGTTTTGGAGTCAAAATACAAAACCTCTTTAGGAGTAGAAAAGGTTGGGTTTTTTAAACATCTTCGTGTTGCAGGGTTGAGAGGAATGAGGCTAACGGGAAGCTTCATATAAACACTGTTGGACTCTTCTATTAAACATAATCTATATACTATAGGGGTGATATCCCCTCACCCATGAGACAAACAGTGTGCAGTAACTCATACAGTACCAAAAAGAAAAGTATTCATACCCGTCTGGCTTTTCACGTTTTGCCACTTCACAACGTCAGACGTCGATGGGGATTTACTGGGAGTGCAAATAGAAATTGCTAAATTCTTTCTATTCTAAAGGGGAAAAAAGCTCGATTGCCTCCAGAGGTTCCCCTGCTGGTGAATAAAGATGAGTGGCAAGAGAACAAGCAGTACAGAGGCCCATGAGGGACATGTGGACACGTGGAAGAAGATGCTGTTACATTTTTAACTACCTGCAAAACACCATGTGTGGCAGTTCAGCTATCCAACACATTATGTTGGGCACGCTCACCCCATAAAGAAGCACGGCGGTGGCAGTCATACTGTGGCGATGTTTTTGTCCAGCAGGTTGAAAGAAGTAAAGCCTTTTAAAAGCACCAAAAGACTTGAAGTTTCCTTCCAACAAATGTAGCATCCCAAAGCTAATGCTAAAACTGATAAAGAATCTCTGATGATAAAAACAATTGCAGTAAAACTTAATTCAAATATAAATGAGCTCGGGTCATTTTGGAAAAAGAAGGTAAAACATTTTAGAGTTTATATGTTGGTTGCAGCTGGCGTTTGTACAAAATATTGACGTGGGCACTCCACACTCTTCAGATATTTGCAAAACTGTTTTCCTTCCTTTCACTTCAATTTCACACGTATCCCTGTCTCGGTCTTGGTTTATTACATATATCTTTTTAGAAATAAACTTTTGTATTCTCTAAAGTGACAAAACGTGAGGAAGTTCACGGGGTGTGAACACTTTTGTGAAGCGCGCAGGTCGTCCGGTGCTGATTGACGGAGAGATGGACGCACTAACAAGCGAGGACTGCAGTGCTGCTGGCTTTGTGTCCGTAATTGAGAAATCTGCATCTGTACCACAGCAACGGGACCAAAATATCATACAAACAGTACATAAAGTCATCCACATACACATAAAACTTTCTGGGTTTTACATGTACATAGTGTTCAGAATCAGCAGGGAAAAAAAAGGAAGAGAGCAGGAGAGGAAGCGACAGCTCGGGTCACCCTGCAGGTTTTGTCCAAGAATCCCCTCGGAGAACCCGACTGGGCAAGTTTCTTCCAGGATCCTTTTCTTTTTGTTTTCTGTCAGGGCCGAGCTGGACGAATCTGTCTTTGCACTCCGATTGGACATCTTTGGTCAAAAATTCAGACTCGAGCAGACGTGCCCTCGGCCGCCCATGAGCTCCTCCTGAAAAAAAATAATAAAAAAAAAGAAGGAAGAATCCTTCTGTCCTTTCGACGTCGACCGGTTCAAGGAGCGTGAGGGGAAAACCCTCCATCTGCCCAAAGCTATCAGAGTTCTGTAAGCCAGCTCGTTACGAGAGAAGGTGCGCAACCTCCCATGGGTCTGATTGTCACCTAGTAAAGGTTAAAGGTTAACTGCCGGGGGGTCCAGCCATGAGAAAGTAGGTCATCATCTCTCCTTTGCCTTTGACGGTGACGACGCCTCGGTATTCCAGTGTGTAGTTGTAGGAGTTCAGCAGCTGGTACAAATCCGCCGTCACCTGTGTGTAAAAAGTTTGCTTTAGATTCACCGTCACTTTTTGGTTCTTTCAACTTTTGAGAAAATGTGATAGACATAAAGTCTACACACAAACAGTCGTGTTTTGCTTGTGGGGACTTCACATTGACTTCCATTAATTTCTAAAGCATAGCCTTTACCATTACATGACCCTAACCATCACATACATAACCTTTACCTTAACCCCGAGTTTAGGATTAACCCTAACCCCCCCAAGTTTAGGGTTAAGGTAAGGGTCAAGTTGATAAAAATCGGACAAAAATCCACCCAAGAAATAGACTTCTACATATTTAGAAGGTTTAAAATGTCTGAAATTGTAGATGATATTCATGTTAATCTTAAAAACTATGTATAAACTTGTGTTTCATGTCAATACAGATGTTTTTTTTTTCTAAAAGTTTAACCATCTGGATACTTGTTAAGGAAGCCTAACAAAGAAAACAAGTAAGTCTGTTTTACGTGAACATTTGAATGGTGAACATTTCATTCATAATAAAATAAAACAGTTTTAGGACAACAAGAAGGTTAATTAAATCTCAGAAAGTTGCTTTGTGTCATTTTGAGTTGTTCATCTTGTATCTCCTGTGAAGCTAACTGCGCTAACAATGCTAATTACTAATAAAAGTTGCATTGAAAATCTCTATCTGTTCTTGACTATAGTTATCTTAAATGGTAAAAGGCCACAGTATTTAGGTGCTTGTGAATAAATTACTAAGTCTTAAACTAGAAAGACTTTCTTTTGATACGATTTAAACAACTTACCTGTGAGATCAACGCCTGATGGAAATTTCAAGAAAAACTGCTGCTTTTCTTGAGTCCTGCAGAACCCAGCTCTGCTATCTTTTCCATGAGTTGGAAATTATTTCAGCTTTGCCATTTGTATTTGCAGCCAGCTAACATTACTGTTAGCATACAGTGTTTTTCACAGGTGCCTCAAATTAGCAAGTTAATTTGAGAAAGTCAGTCTGAAGCCATTTTCTGGACTTTTACTTGAAGTTCTAAAGGAATTTCAGGCAGATTTTGTTCAGTCAGTTACCTGGATCCTCTCCGGGACGCCTGTGCTGTCCATGCGGCTCGCTACGTTTACTGTGTTCCCCCAAATGTCGTACTGGGGTTTCCTGGCCCCTATCACCCCAGCAACCACTGGGCCAATGTTTAGACCTGTGAAAACAGATTGATACATTGCAAAATAAACGATTAAGCCGTTCCCTTTGTCTCTGAAAGTTATTCCAAACTGACATTTAGGAAAATCTAGAAATCGTTATATGGCTCCCCATGTATGTCTCTTTCTCCTGCTAAAGTGACGTGTTGGATAAACATGGCCGCAGCGTGTTCTTTCACGGACCTATTTTCATTTTGAAGTTGTTGAAGGAGTGTTCGTTGATGTATTTCATCTGGTCCATCATCCGCATGGCGTAGTCAGCCATGGCGCGGATGTGCGAGCGCCCGGCCTTGTCGTACGTGGAGTCGTTGAGACCGGAAGCCGCCATGTACGTGGAGCCGATGGTCTTGATCTTCTCCAGCTGACGGAACTGATCCTCGCTGATGATCTGTTGAGGGCAGGAGGAAGGTCAAAAATATTCCCCCACAAAAAAGAGAGGGACATTGCTGTGAATTTCCATTTTTCCCTTTAGGCTGAAGGGTATTTTTAGATCCCCTTTATGCAGCTGGGGAAACATTGAGTGAGAAATCTCCACTGACGCTAATGGACGAACCGCTCACCGAAGCCACTAAAAACCACAGACTGTGATCCCGGCAGCGTCCGCGCTTACCTCATCAAAGTCGGCGATGATCTCATTGAGCAGCCGCAGACACTCCACTCCTTCGTTGTTGGCTTCCAGCTCCACGTAGAACTCGGAGAAGTTGCTGATGGAGGCGAACATGACGGCGACGCACTCGCAGGACTGGTAGTAGAGCTCGTCGTTGCGCCGCTCGCGCTGCAGGAAGTGAGCGGCCACGTCTTTGGGCAGGATGTTGTGGAGCAGGCGGCGGTTGTAGGCCTGCAGCTCCTCCATCTCCTCCTTCTCCTCTGTGGCCTGGAGGAGGTGGGGTCAAAGTTCAAAATAGAAAAGGACACACTCATCTGTGGAGGGAAGCGCTCTAGCGCAGAGATGTAAGGCGAAAGATCCATACTTAGGATCATGTTTCACTGACTTCACAAGTCATAACATTACGATAAATGGATTCCACTTTATAAATGGTAAAATTGGTGAATAACTAAAGTTTGTTTTAATTAGTGATGGAAATTAAATAAAAATTTGAACTGAGTTAATTGCTGGGTCTGTAATTAATTAATTGTATTTAAAGATAAAAAGAGCAATATTTTTAGTTCGATCTTATTTTGATGCCCTTCAAGCATATTAACACGAAAATAATTACTGCAAATGTTCAAAAGAATTAAACACTGAATGTCAAAATGTGAAAATATCAACCGCTTAAATGAGGGGTGTTCAAGGTTTGGCTCGAGGGCCATTTGCGGCTCCTGGACCGATTGTTTGTGGCTCCTAGTTTCAATTCAGGAATGACGCAAATTTGGCCATGAAGAGATGGAGACTTTCTATTCTTAATGAGGAAAAAATTATCACAAAGTAAAATCTTGCTACAATGGAACGTACTGACTACAACACAAAGTATTTGTCTTCAAATCATCAGATTTTAATCGTGTTTTGTGAATCGGTGACTTTTACTTAAAATTAAACTTTGTCGCACCCAAATCAGCTTTTGATTGAGTTAATAAACTTGGTGAAATACAGCAAGCATTTAGAAATAATAATAGAAAGAGACCCAAATCTTGACTTTACTGATCAAAGTGAACTAAATTGTGTTCTTTTTTTCCCCCAAATTGATATCTAGAAAATTTACAAAATTATATTTTATAAAAGCCTCCTGCTGGACCCTTTTAAACTTTTATATCTAAAATAATTGAAAAATTACTTTGCAGAAACAAATCCTACGACTTTATGAGTTTAATTAAATTATAGCATGCAATGTTTACAGAGTAGGTAAAAAAAAAAAAACAACTTTTGGCCTTTTGTGACATAAGAGTTTGGGCTTGACCCCTGACTTAGATAAGCATCGTTTGACATTTAGACCCTGAATTTATCAGACTGCAAGCGGGATTGAACGTATGCGGCCGCATTTCAAGCAAAGGACAGGAAATGACACGCAGCCTCTCGGACTCCACCTGCAGCTTCCAGAGGAAGTCCAGCCTGGCCGTCGACTCCACCTGCTGGGCGTGAAGGTAAAGGGCGAGGACGAAGACGGTGATCACCACGGGGGTCATGATCTTCAGAGGAACCTTGTTGTCCACCAAACACCTGGGATACACACACACATACACACGCAAACGAACAGGTTGATGAGTGAAACAGCAGAACAATAAGCACAGGGATTAGTAAATACTTCAAGGAGGAATCTGACACAAACAAGCTGCTCTGTAAATCTTGGTTCATTAGCGTGAGCATCTGTTGCCAGCGGGTCATTATTAGATTCATTAGCGTGGCAACGAACGACGCTGCCGGTTTAAGAGAGGACGGCGGTCTCACCTTGTGCCGTTTTCTGGTTTGCTGCGACGGGAGAAACCGAAGAAGAGCTGATCAGACGTGAGGTTTGTACGTCGCATACTTGGCTACGGCGGCGGTGAGGGAGACACTCACGTGTAATTCAGGGCGTTTGCCATGACCAGCAGGTCCTGGTTGTCGAAGAGGCTCACTTTAGGCACCTCTATGATGAGCAGGTAGAGCAGCTCGATGAAGAGCATGAGGAAGAGTTTCCCGATGCTGCTGACCTGCAGGAAGACGGAGCAGGCCAGCAGGCTGAGCAGCACACAGCAGGTGAAGTACTGAGAGACACAGGAGAGGTGGACGCACACAGTGAGACGTTGTACTACTGTGCTATGACTCCAGCTGAATAAGTGACACACGGCCGCCCCCGTCCTGACGGCGCCCTGAGTTCCTGCCTGTGTTGCCCAAATCAAAAACCCCAACTCAGGGTAGGAGTGAACTGTACAGTTAATCATGTGACTGGGACGCTACAAGACGAAAAGTCAGCGGGAAAGACAAAAATCACCATGACAACAAATGACGACAAACACCAAGAGCTTCTTAAAGAGACAGAGGCTTGATTTCACAGAGTTAAATTATGAAGTTACATTTTATTGTTTTTCTTTATTTAATATTTGATATATACGACACTTTTATAACAACTGAAGGCAACAAAGTTACTTGATTATGCTTTAAAATGATACAATGTGCATGAAAAACTTACAATGCTGCCCCTTTAATTAGCCTACACTGTAACAAAAGTCAAAAGAGCCCAGAAGTCCTCAGTGCTTCCAGTGTTCTGCCTCGTAGTGAAAGTTTTTTTTTTTGTTGTTATTTTTAAAGCCGTAAACAAATAATATTACCACAAACGACCATTCTTGTCGCCACATCTTGTGAAATAAAACTGCAGAAAACAAAGTAATCTACCAAACAGTGGGGGGAAACCAAACGAAAGTTTGTTTTCAGACATGCACTCACCTCAGGGAAGCTGCAGATGAGGGCGTCGTCTCCGCAGGAGCCGTGCTGGGTGTCCAGGTTGTAGTTGAGGAGGACAGCGTGGCAGGCGTCCACCAGGTCCCGGCTGATGTTGAGCTCCGACTCGATGCAGCTCCGCAGGTCGTGACTGCTGCAGGTGAACTGAGCCAAACCAAGCGTCAGTGAGCGGACTCGGCTCATTCCCGCGCGCGAACGCCGACTTCGGTAAGAAATCTGTACATCTTGCTTACAATGTTAATGAAAGCGGACAGGAAGACGATGATGATGGTGAAGACACCCACCAAGGTGCTGTTGAGTCGGGACTGGACGATACTTTTGGAAAGAGTCTGCAGAGGAGCGGGGAAGATCTGGTGGGAAAATAATAGAACTTATTAATCATTCACCTTCAGATTTAGGGCTGAAGCTACCGATCATTCAGTTGTTTAATCTAACAATTAATCGACTAATTGGACTAAAATATTGGCACATTCTGCAGATTTTTTATTTAAAAGATACAAATTAACAAGTATTAAGATGAATTTTTTACATGAGAAAAAACATTTTATTGCCTAAAATGCAATACCTGTAGTGAACTCAAAGGATGTTGCTAAAAAAAAAAAAAAAATTACTTCTTGCATCAACATGGTGCTCAGGCCTTTCTGCTTGATTCAACATCAGTGCATTTTGTGCGGTTTTGGGTTAATTACTCCTCTGAATATGTTCTTCTGTCAGCAAATAGACTTTTTTTTGGAGTCTGTATCCTCAGTTAATCGATCACTAAATTAGTTTGACGATTTCTTCGATAATCAATTTCATTATGATTAATCCGATTAATTGTTTCAGCCCTACTCGGTTTCTTGTTTTAGTCCACAGGAGCAGAACGTCTCCTGCTGCAGAACACAGAATCTCACTTCACAACATTTTTTTCTATCTAAGGCACATCTTCCAGCTGTGAGTCATCAGCCGCAGTGGACCGGACTAAAGACTCATCCATTATTTGTATTTATCTCCACAACTCAAGGATACACACAGTGCAACTAATTTAAAAAGAAAACACCGTTAGCTTGCGATCCTGGTGATTTTGGAGACGGCTCAGAAGAAATGTATTCAGAAACGCGTCCCTGCTGTGATCTTCTTTTTTTTTAAATCTCCTGAGGACGACACGCTGGCAGATCAGCCTCCACTGTGGGCAAAACAAAACAAGCGGAGGAGGACGAAAAACAGGAGCCATGGGAATATAACTCCATCTTTTAGAGATATCGGAATCAGACTGTGAACGGTGTTTGTCGAAATGCCAAAAGCAGATGTTAAAAATTATATATTTATCATAAAATGATATATTCTTACTTTGTGTATTGAAAGACAACAAAGAAAACAAAGCTACAGTACAGTTAACAGCTGAAACATCCTTTTGATACAAGTGAGCGCAGACTCATATCGATGCTAACAGTATTTAGCAATGGCGCATCACTACAGGAGAGATCCACCGATAATTCATCTGGTGATCCGAGACGTCGGTTTTAAAATAAAATAAAAAATCCAATCTGTTTTCTGACCAGTGAACACACCACAAGGTCGCTCCAACTACAACACTCTTTCATGGTAGTTAGACCACTTTTTGAGATTTTCAAGATCATTCAGACTGACAGACAGAGATGTAACAGGCTATTTGAAAAGACGGCATTTGGAGACCCGTCTGCTGTTCTTTTAGGCCAGAGGTCTGCAACCTGCTGTTGCTCTTCGGATCTTTCAGAAAGGCTCCTAATAACCAGCGAAGGTTAATTTTCACAGAGTAAACACTGCTGAATATATGTAACCATCATACAACACTAAGAAAGGTCTTTAATAAACAAAAATAATTTTTAAAAAGATGATATTTTAGCTACAGGTTGTGGATTTCACTCACTCCAAAGCAGCAGTACACAGCTGAGATGAACATGACGCCCGTCAGGATGATGAAGCACGTGATGAAGAAGCCGATCATCAGACTGGAGCTGCAGAAAGGAAATAGATTATTACTTACACGATTAGTTAATATAGACAAGCTGCTGGTTGAAACCCCATAACTGAGCTGTGTGATGTCACTGTATACATATCTGAACTGAATGAGTAAAATAGACGTCTCATTTGGCAGGAGGAAACTGTTTCCATCCTCCCTGTAGGAGCAGATCTGCATCGTCAAGACATCGGGTTTTTTTGTGCTGCCAGGTGTGAAATGATTCTTCTGCGTCTTTCCGCTTAATGATTATGTAAAAACACTTTACGTTCTGATTGGTCAGGAGGAACGGAGTTATCTTCACGGTGCACCATGTCGTTCTCATGAGCCGCTTCCCGCGAAGCCAAAACGGCCCAAAGTGCAGCTGAACGTTGTTTCTTACAGACGGATCTGGAGTCGAGTCCCGATTCTGTCAAAGCAGGACGGCTCTGACAGTAAGACGAGTATCTGAGAAAAACCTGAGGCGCGGAGAAGCTCACCTGATTCGACAAGGTTTCACAGCCTAGGCCACAAATTCTCACCACAAAGTGGGAAAAAGAGTTGAGTTTATAACCAGCTTCCTCACAACTTTTGTTTTAAATCTCTCTCTTCATTAAAAACACAAAAGTTACATAACATCAGTTTATTTCTGATCATTTTAATGAGTTGCAGCTAATGAAAACCTAAAATTAGGCTTTTCAGAAAATTCAAATATGCTTAAAAAAAAAATATATATATATATATATATATATATATATATATATATATATATATGTGTGTATATATATATATATATATATATATATATATATATATATATATATATATATATATATATATATATATAAAAATTCCCTTCTCACCCACCGCGGGTGGTTCTTATCCTCTGAGCTCGGGTCCTCTACCAGAGGCCTGGGAGTTTGAGGGTCCTGCAGTATCTTGGCTGTGCCAAGGACTGCACATTTCTGGACTGAGATGTCTGATGTTGTTCCTGGGATCTGTTGTAGCCACTGCTCCAGTTTGGGGGTTACTGCCCCGAGGGCCCCGATGACCACAGGCACCACTGTGGTCTTCACCTTCCAGGCCCTCTCCAGTTCTTCCCTGAGGCCCTGGTATTTCTCCAGTTTCTCGTGCTCCTTTTTCCTGATGTTGCAATCACTTGGTATTGCTACATCAACCACAACGGCTTTCCTCTGATGTTTATCCACTGCGACAATGTCTGGTTGGTTCACCATTCTGTCTGTCTGGATCTGGAAGTCCCACAGGATCTTAGCTCTGGCGTTCTCCACCACCTTTGGGGTGTTTCCCACTTTGATCTTGGGGTTTCCAGTCCATATTCTGCACAGATGTTTCTGTACACTATTCCTGCCACTTGGTTATGTCGCTCCATGTACGCTTTCCCTGCCAGTATCTTGCACCCTGCTGTGATGTGCTGGACTGTCTCAGGGGCCTCATTGTACAACCTACACCTTGGGTCTTGTCTGGTGTGGTAGATCTGGGCCTCTATTGCTCTGGTGTTTAGGGCCTGTTCCTGGGCGGCCAGGATGAGGGCCTCTGTGCTGTCCTTGAGTCCAGCTTTTTCCAGCCATTGGTAGGATTTACTGATATCAGCCACTTGGGTTATTTGCTAGTGGTACATCCCATGTAGGGGCTTGTCCTCCCATGATGGTATCTCTGGCACCTCAACCTCCGTTCCCTGTTGTCTGAGACATTCACTGAGCACATTGTCTGTTGAGGCTTTGTCCCTGATGTATTTATGGATCTTAGTTGTTTCATCCTGGACAGTGGTTCTCACACTCACTAGTCCTCTGCCTCCGTCCTTGCGGCTCGTGTACAGTCTCAGGGTGCTGGATTTGGGGTGGAACCCTCCATGCATGGTTAGTAGCTTTCTAGTCTTAATATCTGTGGCTTTTATCTCCTCCTTTGGCCAGCTAATTATTCCAGCATATATATATACAAGTACAAACAAAGCCATGAAAAACAGTATTTTTTGTCATATTACAGCAGATGCAATAAAAGGTAAGGGATAAGCCGTATAAGGTCATATGTAAAGAAGCTGGCTGTTCACAGAAAGCCTTTCCAAGCACTCTAATGGAAGGTTGAGTGGAAGGAGAAAGTGTGCAAACATTTCTGGGTGACAGAGGGGTGCATAAGAGTGACGTGACCCTGTCATAAGCAAAACATAACACCAGTCATGAACATGAAGGAGTCTGAAGGAGAATGTTTACGACTGTTGTCATGATGTGTCATTCGGTAAATAATAACACTTTTAATGCAAAGTTGACACTTTTAATTCAATTTTAATGCAACTCTGCATTAAAAGTGTCATTACGACACTTCATGACACCAGTCATAAACGTTTATGTTCGTGTCTCATGTCAGTCTTAGCTAATAATAATAATTAATAGCATTAACATTGCTGATTTTACACATTTTTCAACCAAACGTTTCTCCTCCACTGAATGCTCTCGCATGCAGCCAGGATCTGAGCGTCTGTCACCGTTACAGTGTGACTCACGTCGGCACAATGACGATCTGGATGAAGCAGATGAAGAAAAAGACGAGGGCGGCGCAGGCCACGTACGCGCCGAACCTGGTGTCCACCTGTCTGGAGTACTGGAAACAGGGAAGAACAGACAACCAACGTAATGAGACTCCGTGCTTCAAGGAAGAAAGAAAAAATCCCACAAAAACGTCAATAGACACAATCAATAATTACTTTATCAATACCTTTTCTTTAGCCTTATGAGTCAAGCTATAAAAGTTTAACTAATGGTGCTATTGGTTTAGTAGTCCATAATTGTAATGGGACTTAAATGTTAAATTACAAGAGTAATTTGACATTTTGAACAGCTAATATTTTGCCTCTGAAAGGCTTTAAATGCATTTCAGTTGAATCTATTTGATTCTGATTTATTTAAATTGTTTCCATTTTTGTACTTTCTTTAGTCTTCAAATTGTTTTTATTAAGTTATTGTGATTAGTTGTATCTTTGTAAGCCTTTATGGCTGAGTTGAGGATAACAGCGTTTGCAGCAGAAACAGTCAAACTGGGTCAGAAACACGTTCAGTCTTGATGCAGCAGTTCCGTCCATCTGAAGCCGTGTTCCTACTTTGACTTTCAGTTCTCCACTTCCAAACACAACCTCCCGTTTCTGTGTTTCTCCCTCTCCTTCGACGTCCTCCAGTCACAGAAAGGAGAAAGCTTTTTTTTTTTACTATTTCTTTTTGCAGATTGCCTGTCACAACCGTTTATCCGCTGATGCTCCCGGCGGCGTGCTTGTGTGCGGCCGAACCTTTTTCTCCAGGTCGGGTTCTCTGAAGGTGAGCAGGAACTTTTTGACGTGTTCGGAGCGCAGGCGGTCGATGCTGCGCGCGTCGATGGCCCTGCCCAGGAACTCGTCCACCTCGTCCTCCGGGTTCAGGTTTTCCTGCGTGTTCCTGAAAATAAAATGCCTGAATAAAACAAGATGAGACGGAGTGACATTTACTTCTGAGGACAAAGTGGAGGGTAAAAAAAAATAAATAAAAAAATAAAAAAGTTTGTCCTCTTGTTTTTATTTCATCTGACCGAAACAAAAGGACTAATCACCCCACGTTTGTCTGGATTATGATAATTTCTCTGTCTGGTTTATTACTTTACAATTCACTGATTAGCTATGCAGCAGAAGAAAAAAAAAGAATACACACTGATGAAAATGCATCTTAATTAAAAAATTAAAAATCATTTTGATCCACTTTAATTAGAAGTGAAATATTGAAGTGTTTTTATAACAACTGGAGGTAAATTGTGTTATAAAATCACACTATGTGGCTAGAAATCACATAAAACTGATCTTTGAGATAAAACTGATCTTTGAGATAAGCAGTTTCTGTTATTACACTTTTAATAACAGTGTAATAACAAACATTACACAGGTTATTACACAGTGTAATAACAGAGAAATAAACATTCAGGTTTATCTCTGAATGTCTTACCCTACAAATCACTCAACCTGGCATGATTTACAAACTAGACTAAGAATTATACCAAGCTTATTTGAAGAAAAAAAGTAAGAAAAACAAAAGATTGGAATAATAAGGACAGAATAATTTCTTTAAAAATGTTTTTTTTCTTTATTCTCTGGTTGAAACGGTTGGCGCTTCATCTCTGAGCAGGTCAACTGTGAATGACAATATCTGAGGTGAGATTCCTGCTTATGAAAATGAATTTGGCTACATGAGACAGAAACTTTGTGAACATTGCGAACACTGCTACTTAGATGAGCCGTCGCCCTCCAGGGAAGCATCTTTTCCGTCTGTCATGGGGAGAATAGATGAATAACAGCAGTCCAAGGACACCAAATGACTGAGTCTGGGTTTATAGTTTCAGCAATGACTCCTCGTCTAGTACCACACACAGAACCAAGAGCAAGAGAAAGCCTGCACCAGCAAAAAGCTCTCAGTCCAAAACTACAACATTACATTTGTAGGTTGAGTTACAAAGCAAAGATTTTCTGCAATGGGCAGAGAAGGTAATGTTGTGTTAGCAGCCCAGTATCGGAGGCACTCAAATTGAAGGTTAGCATTTTCCAAAAGATTTCAGAAACTAATCGGCAACTGTGCCTAAATTTAACGTTCTTACCAGGAGAACTAATAAATGTGACCATATGATGACGTAGTTGTTACTCACTTGTCTTTGGGATCCTCAAAACCCTGAAGAACAGGAACATAAAAGAAAACAACTGTTAACTTGAATACTTATTGACTTATTAATGAAGCTAAAAGAGGCCATGTTTTTTTTTTGACTATGAGTAAAAGTCATTCTGAACAATTATCTAAAGTACAGACTTTAGAAAATTGAGAATACATGTTCCACTCATTTGTCCGAATGAGAAGTCCCTTTACAAAAATTACAACTTTTAAGCCAACATGCATTTTACTGATCCCGTTATTTTAATTATTTTTCCAAAATGCGTTTACTTTTCGTGCTGATGCAATATCCAAATCTTAATAGTGTTTTCATTAGATGTAAGAGGAAAATTGTAACTAACAGAAGTAAAGGCTTGAAAACATGAGTTTGTGTCATTAATCTATAAAATGTTCTAGTAATAGAAATAAACAAACCTGTTGTTCATATTCAAATTACGAAGTGAGAAGGATTTTAAAATACTGAACACATATGACGTCCTCTTAGACAAAATGATGATGGTTAATATTTTACATATATGTTACATGACTTAAACGCAGCAGTTAGATGTTTTTCACCCCTATTATATCTACGATTGGCCACATGGGATTTTTACTTCAAACATTTTTATTTCATTTTTATGTGTTAAAAAAAAACCTAAATCCAAACGCCTCCCGATTGCAACGTTGTTCGACCTAATGACAGCAATCAGCTGCAAACCTGGTATTATTACCTCAAAAATAACTGTTATAATGGACCTGATGACATAATGATCAGCCTGAGGCAACGAGAAACAGAAACAGGAAATGTTTCCTGTGGGCGGAAAGAAGTCAGGATTACACAGCGAAGGTGACGTTAGACCCGAGATATTTTAGTCAAATTGTGTTTAATGAATAAAAATTCTACATAAATACAAAAGTTATAGAAAAAAACTTATCAGCCAGGTATTGGTTCTGTTACATGAGAAATTGAAAAATCTAGAAATACATTTAAAGACGTGATCACAGTCCAGCAGAGTTTCGCTGACAGATCATTTTTATTTGAGCTTTTGCTCTTCGATGATTCGCAAGAGCAGCAGGTTAGCATCACTCAGTCTAACGCTTTGGGGGGCATTTCCCCATGCCCCTATTATTATTGCTATGTATTCCCCTGGCTGTGGCCCTCTGATGAGTAAATGATCACAACCGGGCAAGCCAAGCAGTCTGACGGCGTTGATGTTGCTCACCATCCTCTTCATCTCCTTGGAGATGTGGTTGTGGAAGGCACGGTCAGCCCAGTGGCCGCTGTTGTGGGTGACGGAGTTGGTCCTCTGTCGACTCATTTTGGCAATCATCGCCTTTTCTTCTTTCTGCGGAGCAAAAGGATGCAGAGGCTGAAGCACGAAATGACTGAACGGCATAAAACCTTGAAGCACAAACTTGATGGCAACAACTTTTTATGTGGCCCTCTGATTTCTAGACTAAACACCTTAAATATTATGTTAGCAATCGAATCAATGCAGTTTTTATCTGTTTGCTGCCAAATTATATCAGTCCATCCAGTTTCTTGAGAAATTTATGCAAATCTTCACATCTTTTGCTCTAATAATTGGGAGTGTGTTGCAGATTTTTCTCCAGAATTGTCAAAAATGTTCAGCTGACACAACCTTAAAGATTATAGTCCGTAATCTTTACCGCGAGTAATAAAAAGTCGCATTTATCGTCATTAATAGGAGTAAATATCATAAGTATTTATATATCAGTACTATAAACACTTTTTATTGTTTTATTGCAGAAAATCACAAAAAGAATCAAAATCCTGAACAAGTTTTCAGGAACTGAAAACGTGTTGTATAATATTTTTAAATTTTTAGAATTTATTGACTCGAGGTCTGCTTACATTTTATTGGCATTAAATGTAAAACTAAAAACGGCTAAAATTCACAATTTGCACCATGTGAAGGAAGTGTGGTGGTGATCGTTCAAATCATTTACTTCTGAGCTTAATAAGAAAATAATGGAGCCCCAACAGGGATGTTCCACTTACAAATAAGTTGTTCTGAGCCAAAAAGAAACGTTTTATTTTCACATATTATGATTGCAGATTTAAGGGTCTGCCTAGATTCCTTTAAAAATACAAAAAAACAAAACAAAAAAAAAAAAACAGTTTTTAACAGTTTCAGGCAATTTCCCGGGCAGCTCTCTTTATCTCATCTGATATCAGAGCTGAACGGTTTTGTAAAAACTGCAAGAACAAAAATAAAAGTTAACCAAAAAAAGGAGGAAAAATCTAGACTTCAAAAAGTTCCCTTTGTCCTGAACCACAGGCAGCAGAATGAGAATAAAATATCACTTCACATGACTTGCTAACTATAGTCGCAGCTTGTGATACTGCCGGGGGAGGCTGATCAAAAATATCAAGTCATAAACAAACAGGAGGCTCAAGCAGGGAGGCGGCGATGAACTCGGAGCACAAACTCAGCTTACAGACGATATTGGGAGCAAATTAACTTGGAGCTGTTTGCTTTCAAAGAGACGTCTGTCTTTAAAGTAGGAGCTTTTCACATCGACACAAACGTCGCAGTGTTTTACTGGAGTTTTAATGTGAATATTTGTGAAGTGCAATCAAAACCGGAAGCAATAAATGGGAAGCAAAAAGTCAATATTTGAAAAAAATTGCTCAATTTCAGCCCCAACTTTCTTTAGTTTTGAGTTGGATTCAACCAACACCATAAAAGTCTGAATAAAGAGAATATTCCCAATCGCTCTGTATTCACCTGTTTAAACTACCTCTGTTCAGCTTCCACTAAAAACTCGAGGCCCTCCAGACTCCCAGTTACAGCAATAAGTCTCGCCAGTTTTTCACAAATTTGCAAAGTTCAAATCTCAACAAAACTCCACTGCTTTTTCTGATTTTACAGCAAATTTTCTCAAAATTGCTCAAAAACGTTGAGTTTAAGTGAATGCTGCCTCAGCCTTACTTGATGTCAAGTTATAGTCTATAATTGATACAGCGAGTAATAAAAAGACACATTTAACATCATGCATTTGTGCAATAACATTTAAACATTGCTAAGTAGGCAACATAAAATCTCATTTTGATTAAAAAAACACTGAAACAATGACAAAATATCTACTGATATTTTCACATTTTAATTTGTTTTATCAATTCATTCTGGTGTACCCGGCCCTTTAAGAACATTCAGATTTTTAATATGAACCAAACTAAAAAAGAGTTTTATTTTTGCTAAAATAATGATTCTACCATATTTCTTTTTGGCATTTTACTGTTAATTTTTTATTTTTAAATCAACTTTTCAACTTTAAATGAGACAAAGACCATTTCCGTTTTCTTTCATTGCCTCCTTCAGCGTCGAAAGCCGTACCCTTTTCTGACTGCAGCCCACAATGAGGTAGGTTTCTATGTTGCTCCTCTTCAAGTAGGCGTTTCTCTCTCCTCCTGCTCCCGGCTCCACGTCGTAATCCCCGTTCAGGTAGTTCAGGGTGGCCTTTGTGATGTGTATGCGCCTGAAATGAAAGCGTTCCTTTTCTTAAAAAATGCTCTGGATGTTATGTAAATCTCATGCAGCTCGCCCTCCACACTCATCGGGAGGAACGTTTTGGAAGCGAAAGCGGAGAAGGGAGCTCATTGGACGGACCCGGCCTTGCCTCCCGCTTCCATCTGGTTTGCGAGCGTGACGTCGTTGGACCAGACGTCAAACTGCCACTTCCTGAGTCCCAGCACCCCGCAGTGCACCCTGCCGCTGTGGATGCCAACGCGCATGTTCACGTTCACCCCGGTCACCTCCCTCACCAGCCTACAGAAGAAACAAACAAACACAAAAGTGACACAGTTGGCGTGTCTGAATGTACCAGCTGTACTCTCAGTGAATGCTGCTGCTGAGGTTCACTAGTGACTCGTGTTTGCCAGACATGTTTTTTCAGTGTGCCCAGCTTGCAGAAACGGTATATTAACGCCGTTCCCAGACTTACGAGATGGCCTCAATCATGTCCAGCCCCATCTCCACGCAGCAGTGGGCGTGATCGGCTCTGGCCTCTGGCAGCCCAGACACGCAGTAGTAGCAGTCGCCCAGGATCTTGATCCGCAGACAGTGGTTCTCCTGCCGCACGGCACAGGAGCAAGAACGGAAATGTACATTACGGTATTAACCAAGAAGCAAACGTACGTGAAACATTAATGAAGTTCTCTCCATTTTGCTTTAAATATTGTACAAAAACTGCCACAAAATCCCGTGTGATCCAGTGTTCAATTCAAAGCTTTTTGTCAAACATCCCAGCATACAGTACAGCCTAGGAGCCATGTTATATCATGTGGAAATATTAAAAGAATAAAGAAGACATCATACATCTGCCTTTGAGTAAATCTGAGACAGACTTTCTTTTGTGGGAGTGGGATAGGTTTATATTCTTCACTGCAGTAACGTTCATAGTTGGGGTTCCTCAAGCAACATTTACAGGCCCCATTTGAAATTCACTTGAAGATTTAGGTTCGCTGTGATGCTTTGGGTATAAAAACAGTCTTTCAAAAACAGCAACAAAATGTAAAATAGCTGCAACTCTGCCTGAACTGCTTGGACAACTCTTACGGACGGCTCGCATTCGGTGCTACTGGTTAGCAGAAACAACGGCGAAGGCTTTGTTCTTCTTTTGAATGTGTTCTTCTTTGTCTGCCTGTGGCGCAGAATCTCATCGACTAGTGGAAGTAAAACTGCATCAGAGCTGCACAAAATAGCGCAAAAAATCGTCACAACAGCGCCAGTGCATGCAACACCAATATCAAAGAGGACTATTCGAAATGCAATATTTGAGGCAAAATTCCAAAGCAAGAGTTTAAGCCTTTCTCTCTGACGGACCATAAAACGCAAGACCAGCCAAATCTGTGACAAGAGGTGGGACTTATAGTCCAGAAAATACAGTATTTTATTGTATTGCATCTTTGTCATCAGCACTGGGTGGAAATGTCTCTGTCCCTCCTCTGACAGAAACGGAGACGTTTGTTGACTTGCTCACTCGTTATGAAGACTCAACATCGAAGGCTAATTAGCAGCCAACCACTGGAGCTCAGCAGTTTAGCAAACAGATGCTAAGTGACGAAAAGCAGGATTTAAAAATGTCAAACGCAGTCCATTAAAAACAATAAAGAACCTCAGTGTAGATATCATGCTGGGAGTTGATGTGTGAGCCAACATCGAATAAGTCATGTGTGTGTATTTGTGTGTGTTTGCGTGTGCGCATCCCAAGGGTTTGGGAGAGTGTAATGTCTCATGATAGCCACCTGAGTATCTGTTTAGCACACGGACAAAAATACAAAAGGAGCCACTGTGTAAGGAAAGAGTGAGCGTGTGTGTGTGTGTGTGTGTGTGTGTGTGTGTGTGTGTGTGTGTGTGTGTGTGTGTGTGTGTGTGTGTGTGTGTGTGTGTGTGTGTGTGTGTGTGTGTGTGCACATAGAGACAGAAGGTACATCTGGCATGGAGATAAAAGTGTCAGATGCAACATTTCTGCTTTACGACAGCATTATGCCTGTTCAGTTCATAAATATTGATCAGCAGCCGATTGTTTCACCTTTCATAAACAAATGACAGGAACCGAGGATCAGCTCAACACACGCTGACGCTGGATAAATGATAAATATATCAGCATTCCCAAGGTTGTGGGGCAGATATTAATAACTGGGAAGCTTCAGAAAAGGCAGTGAAGATGATATTAATGTTGCTATTTATTTACAAAACTACAGAATCTCCAAGAAGGGATTAAACATAAAAACTATTTTTAGTTTGAACACCACTGCTTTATGCTGCTGTGTCACAATCGTTCTCATCGAAAGTGGAAGTCACTTCAATTTACAAAGTTTTTTTATTTTATTTACTCCAACTACTTCTTTCTACAATCTTTAACGATTTAATTTGACTTAATATCCTTGCAAAAAAAATCTTTGCCGTCCAAACTGACGGCTAATATGTCAGAAATATTTGTTGTCATTTTAAAATTGTTTCATGATTCTTGGAAGTTTCGCAAGATCAATAAATTCATATTCAAATGAGAAGAATTGCTGGAACTTCAATACGTTGAGAGAGAAAAACAAATCAGTGTTCAAATAATAAAGTTTTTAAAGTTCTGATTTCTGATCAGATAGATACATTTTATTTTAACTGCCGATTGTTCTTATTTAGCCAAAGAAAATACATTGAAAGCTGGACTTTGTTTTCCCCATCTGACTTGTCCCCAAACAACAACATTGTTATAAGTCTTGGCTAAATGGCTGCACTCCAAATTCTGCCTAAGCAACATTTGAACCATCTGAACCACACTTAAACACTTAAACACTTCTTTTTTTCTTTCTTTTCATTTCTGAGCTTTGAGAACTGGAAGCTGGACTGGTCTCTGCCCCAACGGGTCTGAAGCTTCTAGACATTAAAACCACAAGCGGTTCTGGTCGGTGTGTGTGTGTGTGTGTGTGTGTGTGTGTGTGTGTGTGTGTGTGTGTGTGTGTGTGTGTGTGTGTGTGTAATCATAAACACTACATATAGAAGTGTAAATGAGGACTAATTGCCAAATTGAAACTAGTCAGGCACCACATTTTATTCAAATTAAAAATGTAAAATAAATCTATTGTGATTTTTTTTTTTTACCTGCCCAACAATAAATAAATCAGACAAAATTTAATAAAACAAAGTAGAACAGAACAAACTGTTAACGCTCAGGCCGCTATAAATTGGGTTTCCGTGTTTGTGATTGACCAATCACAAAACAAGTGGGGAACATGCAACATGACTTTATTTCTTCCTGTATGTCTGTGAGCCTCCATAGCAACCCTCACACTCAAAAAGTCAAAAACAACAGTTCTCAAAGTCTACATGAAGAAAAGACGTAAATAAATAAATAAAAGCATGCAATCCCACTGCAATCCTTGAAAGTTACACATGCCTGCATGCGTTGTGCGCTTACCGCTGCCAACTTGTCAAAGCGGGCGAAAAGCTCATTGAGCGTCATCACCAACTCCTGCGCCGTGCACTGCGACGCCAGACTGGTGAAGCCCTCGATGTCAGCAAACAGGATGCTGCAGAAACACAAAAACAAGAGAGGTAGAACCCGACGTTCTTCCGTCAGCTCACGTCTCAACTAATGGTTTTTCCTCCTCTCACTTTTCACTTCCTGTATTGGTGTTGTTGAAAAGCTTAATGTGACGGCAAAACCTAAGTAAAGGCGAGCCTGACGGGGTTTCCAATTTTCAGAATAATTGTGAAGATCAACTATGAACATTTGGTGTTCGTATTTGCTTGCGTTTGGCATAAAGAGGTATGTGATTGTTGCTAATAACAAGTGGGAATTAAATCAATATAGTTAGTGAGAGCAAACAGTCAACGTGAAGGAATCAGATTACTGTGAAGAGATAAAAGAACGCTGTTCATGCTGAATTTTTCGAATGAAAAGTTGCCGTGTTTTAGCAGCTACGCCGTTTTGTGACCACATATGGTACTCTGCAACTCTAAGTTGCCCAGGGGGGAAAATGGTGAGTGTGAACAGTCGTCTGCCTCCGTGTGCTCGGTGTGAAGCCCGCCTGGAGCGTTGTGACAGGCAGCCGCTCAGATGCACAAATGCAAGAGTTGATGACGGACCGAGAGCAGTTTCAAGTCACACAGATGTTACCGAGCGAGCCTTTATGAACAAATATTTAAATAAGTATTTAAAGCTGCATGCTTTCAAACACCACAGCTACAAACTTCTATGAGACGGATCGACACAGAGTTGTCGATAATTGTTAAGCAGAGTGAAAATGACACATGGTTGTCAACTGGGTTTTTTTTCTCCAAATGGCAATTAATTAGCCAATTGAATATAGAGTTTAATTTAATGTTAGTATAAATGCAGTTGTTCTATGAAGCAAATCAACCAAAATGCATGAAAAAAAAAGAATGCGCCAGTCAGGTTGGGCTTAAAGTGAAACAAATAAAAGACCCTGAACATCCTATTCCCATCTCCAAACACGCACAGAAGCTGGTCCTCATGAGTCCTCACTTCGAAGCCTGAAAGAACGTCACTGGTGATACGCAGAGGGAATTACAAAGGCTACCGGGGTCATTAAGTCCCATTTAATTGTTTCCTTGGTGATGAATGACTGGTCAGTCTGCAACATTAACACTATGAGATCTTGAAGTGAGAGCCGCTGCAGGGGCGGCGGTGGGCCAAGAGGCCACACAGAGCGTCCAGGAGGAAAACGTTGTTCACATTCATCGGGAAGATGTGGAAAGCTGGTCATCATTTTGGCACAAAAGCAGTTTCTCCAATGATTTGAGGCAAGAAGAACATACAAAAAAATGAGATGATAAGGACATTTGTAGCTATGCTCTCCTTCAGCAAAAAAATTCTGAACAATACTTCAATTTATTTTAAAGTTTGGTCTTTTTGGAATACGCCACTTTTATCGACTCAAGGGTCTCCTTACTTATTTTATAAAGAAGTTTGTAACACTATAGGAGACTATTTACACTGTAAGGGTTGATGCCCTCAGTGAGGCCTTGTTGCCCAAACATGGTTTCATCCAATTCATCCAATTTGGTTGTGGTTAACACCATAACCACCATATACTTGCATGGTGGTGTGTTTTCACATCTGTTAAGTCTGGTAGACTCTGTTTGATTTGGGGGAACAAAATTTCAACAATGGTTCCATTTTCAGCCAGTTCACTTTCACGCTGCACTATGTCAAACGATCCGAACTAATTGAAAAACCTGTTCACCCCCTGGCCTGTGGTGGCGCTGCTCCAAGAACTGCTGAAGGGCACAACATGAAAACGACTTCCTTCCTCACAAAATGTGAGTGGCATCAGATTTGAGCAGGATTTGTCTTTTGTTTTTGGGAAAAGATCACGAGTCATTTCTCCTGGCAACGTTAGACTCTCATGAACGTTTTAGGGTGTATTTACCCATAATGCACTGCAGTTCGTTTCCTGCTTTTGGAGCGGTCTCCAGTCTTCTTGCATCAACATATGTATTTATGAAATGACTTCAATCGAACAAAGACCTGGGCTTGTAGGCAGACCAGAGTTCGCTTTTTTAGGTCTAATTTGAGTTCGATTGGCCGTTCATACCACCAAAAATGAACCAAACTTTTTCTACATCGAGGCATTAGTTTGATTAAAGCAGACTAAAGATAGAGGCAGAGTTCAATCTGAACTTTATATTGTGACAAAATTACTATATGTAGTTCAGATTAAAAAAAAAAAAATTATCTCAATTGTTTAATTTATTTACTATTAGACTGCAGAGGTGAACATTTGAGAGGGAAACAATCAGTCTTCTTTCCGATAAATCCAGCTCCTTCTAATGGATCTTAAGGTGTTTCCAGAACACCTCGAGTGCCCAAGAAGCATCCCGATCCGACGCCTGAACCAACTCAATGAAAACAACTTTCTTTTAGCCCGTCTGGTTCTTTAGGTCAGACCCACATCTCATGAAAACATGTAAAAACCAAAGGAGGACTAATAAATTTAATAACCAGTCTGTTTGTGTTTTACAATCCAGGACTAAAAATCTCTTAAAAGTGACAATGGCTACAAAGCATCAGTGTGCTGCTCTCCCGTTATGAGTACCAGCCCTCAGCGATGACGCAAACCCAACCGCGAGTGTGTCCACTCTGAAACCACGGGGTCTTTTATTGTTGTTGTTGCTGCAGGTTCATGTCTTGTTCGCGCTTCCATCAGAAAATGGGAACAAAGGCACTGAAGGTCAGTCCCTCTAATTTATGTAATGCGGTTTGGAGAGTTGCTGGCCTACATACCAGCAACAGCAGCTTCCGTCACAAAGTTCTGTTGGAGAAAATCACTCATACATTTAAAGGGCAACCCTTTGGCCTTACTACACACAAACACGCACGCACACACAAATCTTGCATAATCCCAAAACAAAGCAAATAAAAATCAGGAATTGGATCCACCAGTTCAACTGGACATAACTATCTGTCAGGTCTGCTGGGTCTCATACATTTTATCACTACTGGTAAAATGTTCGAGACTCGTACATTTTGACAAATCCCCCCTGATTTGTCAACGGGGGGGAAGCTACAAGAAAAATAAATTGTGTGCTCGTATACACTACATCTAGAACCACTTTCACAATATTTATACTTTCAGAATCGGCAAAAAAAACTCAAGTGGACGTGTTTGCACTTATGCAGTGTCCAGTCTCATTTACCAACAAAGGCAAATGAAGACATTTCACCTCACTTTTTTTGAACAGCTCTACGGCACTCTGCTGGTAGATGGTAAAGGTACAGTGTGAAATAGGGTGAGGAATAACCCTAACAGCTAGGGCCAGAAAAATATCTGGGTTAGGCATCAATGCAGTTACAGAGACGCATGCTGTTATTGTCGCCTGTGAAGCCTCCTAAAGTCTAAAAGTCTAGGTCCGCCACTATTTACCGTGAGGATAAACTCAAGCTTACGATGGGCACAAAAAACTATATTGCTGGGATTTTTAATTTTGTATGAACAAGAAAACTGATGCCTTTTAAAAAAAGTGACTACATGCAATTATTTTCTTTTCAGCTGTAAAAATACATCACATAATAAAACGATGTAGCCCTATTTTATTTGGGCGACGTTTTATTACATTTATTGGCTTTTACCATGTATGACATACAGTCTATCGCGACAACACATCACAATGAATTTTCAAACACTTTTTATCACCACTTTTGCCTTTATGGGAATAAATACCCAAAAATGTCATGATACATTTTAACCACATAGCTCCTGTTCCTAATTGTCAGCACGCCATTTGTTAAATGAAGCCGATACTCGATGTGATTTTAACCTGCACACATGTTTTGTTTACCTGAGCATCCTCATGACTCATTCCCTGAGGTATGAAATGAATCAAGTAACAGTGCCCCACTCCGAGTGGGTAAAAATGTGCAGCCTCAGCCATCAGAGACAATTTGTGCCTCTGCGCCGGATCAAAAGGATGTAATTACATGCCTTCCATGGTTCATTAACCGATTTGCCACCTCTGTTGTTGCGGCGCTCTGAATTCCTAAATTAAAAGCTGCGGACAGACACACGCATAATGCATCTGTACAGCAGCGGCGACAGGCTTTGGACCCCGAGCGGCTCCCTCTGCCTCCCTCTGCCTCCCTCCGTTTGCCCTCTTGCTCTTTAGTTTTGCCCCTCTTCCTGTTGTCTCGCTGCCACTCAGCGGAGACCCAATTAACCAAAAAAAAAAAAAGCCACGGACTTCTTCCCAAACAAATCCCGGTCACGCCTCATCACCAGACGGCACATTGGTGACCGAAGACAGAACTCGGCCCGGGTCGGTGGACGCTGCTAACGCGCTGCATGCTCTCAGCAAGTTGTGCAACATCTGTTCTCCAACTGATGTTGCACAACATTTATTTTGCAGATTTACACCTGACACTTTTAAAATGAACATTGTTCTTTTATTCTATGAACTACTCACAACATACCTTCGAAATTCCAAGCACACATTTTGTATTCATTTGCAGAAATGATCAAAATAAGGAAAAAGACGCAGTGCTTTCAGATCTTAAATAATGCAAAGAAAACAAGTTAATATTCATTTAGACGTAACAATGCTAATGTCTTAACTCAGGAGTAGTTAAGAAATCAGTATTTGGTGGAATAACTAGGAGGTTTTCAATGGGCTTCAGTGCAGTGGGCTCTTCATTTTTCAGCGCTGTACCACCTGCCTGAAGGCAGCAAAACTCAAACTGCATTTTCTGATACAGGCTCCAGTTATTTAGGTCATATTTCATCCACTTCTATGCAGTTTATTCAAAAATAGATCAACTTCCTGGAGACTTGACAGGAAATTGTCAAGCATAACTTCATTGATGGAGCTATGTGGTGATCTATAAATAGAAGGAGATGGCAGGATAAATACTGTTTTCTTGCTCCACAAGGTGGCGCTCAAACGGACGCCTCTCTTCCAACCATCCATCTGATGCAGTCTCACAGTGTTCATGATTCTCTGCGATACAGCCAAGCTCTAATCATCCTTATTGTTCCAGCAAAAACATATTTTTCACCTATACAAAAACACAACATGGCTTCACTGAAACCTTAAAGATGAACATCAGAGGAGAATAAACAAACAAAAACAGCCAAGCAAAACTGGCCAGATGAGAGAGTCCATTTCCCACCATATGAAATGAAAACCCTACGTTTTGCTCATGTATTTCTCACGAAACACATTAGTGACCCAGAACAGGAAGTTATCCAATATGATTGTATTTGGCAATTTATCACATTAATTCTGAGTGCAAATGAAGAAAAAGATTTGGGTTCGTGTGGTAAATTTCTGTTAAGATTCGACAGACATGACAGTCGAGAGGAAAGGGGAGAATGTTTCCTAAGCGATGCAATGCAGGCTGCGACTGTGCAGTGAAATTTCGCCCAATTCCTTCGTAAGGAGGGTGAATTCATATATATTTAAAGTATTTGTTGTAATCAAAGTGTGCAACACATAAAATTCTAAAACATACATAACGTTTGTTGCCACATGTTGTGCATTAACGTTAAAAATACAACATAAATGACTTCCTGTTTGTTTGTTTTTTTCTTATAAACTAAAAACCCCCTTTGTATTCATAACACTGAGACTCACATTCCACTCTGCATGGATGCTGTGGAAAGAGTTGGGTGAGAAATACTCTGAAAAGTACCATCGAGCATGTTGACATGGCAACGTCTGCACTCTCCCTCCTCGTCTGCCACCGTCTGTGGGTGGGCTGCACTATTCTGGATTAGCATGGATTACATAAATATATATAATGTCATATGTAGTGTTCTTTATTCAAACTATGCTTTTCAATTAGTAGCAGAGTCCACATGTCCACAACAAACAATGGTGGAAATTTTTCTATTAGAGTGCATGCAAACAAAAATGTTGATGTCTGAGAACTGAAAATGAATCTTTTCTTGTTGTATGCTGAAACTGGCATTAACACTGCAGCACAGGTAGCTGCCACAGGAAGCTAGAAAGGGTCAAAGGTTAACTTATTCTGTTCATTGCTTTCTTTTTCCTTTATCAGACTTATAGAGTGAGTTTTCTGAATAGAACATGTTGCGTTGCATTTTTACTGTGTGCATTGTTAAAGTTGTGATATATTTACATGTTGCCGTCGACATAATTTAGTTTAGCTAGGCATCAGAGGTCTAGTTTGAATTTTACAAACATATTTCTAATGACTTGGTAGTTACCCAACCAGACTGATGATTTAAACGGGATTTGATAGAGGGACTCAAAGATTAGGGTGATGGCAAAGATGCCTTGCAACATTAAAGCAATGTGAAAGATTACCAGTTATGATAAAAGCTGTTCAGCATTTACAAGAAGATTTTGTTCACTGTAACATAAATAAAATGTTTGGCATTGATCGTTCCTAGCATGCCATTTGTTAAATAAAATATACCATTTAAAGCAGATTATTTTGCTCCAAAATGCTTTTCTTTTACGTTCTTTAATTGTCGTCTGAGAGACGCCTGGATGATTTTCAAGCTTGACCTGCAAACTGATGTGATTTCTGAATATCTAAGTGTATTTTGAAGGCTTGTCGCTATTCAAAATGCCTTGACACTTAATTTTTCTTCACGTCATGTTTACCTACTGAAAAGAGCATGCAGTGCAAACTGATATTTGCTGATGTTTTGCCTTTTTTGAACATCAAGCATGAGATTTCTTTTTTTAAGCGCTTTGTTCATATCCGTGTTCATCTGGCCTCCCCCTCGTCGTCGCAGCTCCTCTGATGTTACCTGACGTTGTCGTGCTTTTGGATGTAGATCTTGTGAAACATCATGTCCTCCTGCTTGGCATTTATGTCAGCTTTCATCTCCATGGCAACATGACGAGGAAGTACCGAGAGTAAGAGGCGCTCCTGCAGAAAGAGAGAGAGAGAGAGAGAGAAAGAGAGAGAGAGAGAAAGAGAGAGAGAGAGAGAGAGAGAGAGAAAGAGAGAGAGAGAAAGAGAGAGAGAGAGAGACAAAGAGAGAGAGAGAGCAAGAGAGAGAGAGAGAAAGAGAGAGAGAGAGAGAGAGAGAGAGAGAGAAAGAGAGAGAGAGAGAGAGAGACAGAGAGAGAGAGAGGTGAAGTAAGTTTGATGCAAAAGTAAGCAGGGCTTGTCAGAGAATAAAACAAATGCATTTCTGCTGTGATTTGTTTATGGAGACTATCATTTAATAATTTGATGTTTAACAAGTAGTGTCCAGAATTAACAAGTTAATTTACTGGAGATATTTAGCTTATTTTCAATGTTGTCATTGCTATGTTGTTAGAAATTGTAGAAGTAAAATGTACAACTTGTTTCCCTAAACAAAGTTGTACATTTTGTACAAAGTTATTCTAAAAAGAAAAAGAAAACTACTTTACTATGAAGATTTCAAATTTGTATACAAATAAATGTCGTGATTTAAAGTCAAATAATGAGAGATGTAAGTGGAAGCTGCAGCAATGCTGTTTCTTACTTCAGGCTGTATTTCTAAAGATGATACATTTTACTAAGCAGAAATGAAGACGATTCCACAAAACTTTCCGTCACGTGATGCATATGAAGTACACATACATATGTAATGTGCTTTGACTTTACATGCTTGTCACGATAATGGTAAAATATGTATTTGTTAAAGTAATACAAAAAAAGCTAGTTTGTACTTCCATTCCATCATAGCAACCTGATGAATTTTTCCTCCAGTGCCGAGTGAATCTTCATCAGGAAAGAGAGAGAGTCTGCATAGTGCGGTATGAGATTGATTTATGATATTGTCTGGTTGTGGCTGCGACACTTTCTGTGTACTTTCAGGAGCAGGGTCTCATCTGTGTAGCCTTCACTGCTCAAACAAAAGTTGCAATCCTCTTCCTATAACATTTTTAAGCAGATGTGTAATAGTGTGATCAGGCGTTAGATGGAAATTAAAATGACAATAACAACCATACATTTACTGCATATTCTATCAAAAAAAAAAGACCTTACGCACATTAAGTTTGTGTCTCTGTAGTCTTAATCAATCTGCATATTTATGATACAAAATACAGGAAATAATCTCAGATTACCTACCTGCTGCTGGTTTTCCCTCTGGGAGTGGAGGCGAGCCTGGATGCACTCCCTGGTCTCCTGGAAGGCCTGCCTCTGGGAGCCCTCGGCCGGGTAGTGCGTACACACTCCTACAATGTTTGAGCAGGAGAACACCAGGATGTTGGAGACTATCTGTGGAAAGAGGAGGAAAAATGTAAGTGAAACCCGCCGGATAAGCACGTTGTTTTTCTAGTCCTACCAGCTGTTCAGAACTGCTCAAAATGTAGGCAATTTGGGGTTAAGAGCCTTGCCCAGAGGCACATCGACATGTGCTGGAATCGAACCTACAACCTTCCCATTGCAAGACGACAACTCTGCCACACAATCACAGTTGCCCTTTGTAGATTTGCACTTTCTTTCCTTTTCAGATTTATGCAGTTCTTTGTGTTCATGTGTTGCAGAAAATCTGAATAAAACACATCGACGTTCGTGGCTATAATCATGTCATAAAAATGTGAAAACTTCTGGACTTGTAATTTTTGCAAAGCAATACATATACATATATACACACATTTATATCTATATGTATATATGTCCATATATATTCTACCAACTGTTTGACACGTAAAACTTCACAAACATCCAAACGTTTGCTTTGTGGTGTATCTGTTCCAGATCTATGGTTCTCCAGCGAGGTGCCCTTCACTAGACTTTCACATGCCGTGTATTTAGGCTTGAAATACGCAGAGCAAAGACACGAGAAGGCAGAGAGAGACACAAAGTGTTTGAAGCAGGATTTCCCCGCGCTGCAGCTGTTTTCCCTCCGACTGAGAGTAAAGCGCTCTGTTTCCGTCGGCTCCGCCGGTGCGCCTGGCCTCCCTCTCGCCAGAGGGGACAGGCCGTCTCAACCTTCTGCGGGGATTTTTTGACACACCGTTTTTTTGTCCGAATGTCTTCATCCAAGACGGCGCCTGTCTCATTAGAGGACTCCGCAGGGCCGGCTCTCATACTGCCGGCTCGGAACGGTAAGCAGCAGCTCGGAGAAAACTGAGCTGATGCAAAACAAACAGACTTCTGATTTAATTTATGTGTGGTAAAAAGAAAACTGCTAAATCTCCAGGGCGACTCGCGTCACATTATAATATGTACACAACTCATTAGGTGCTACCATCAGAAACAATAAAAACTACTAAGTTTATTTAAATTTAAACACTGTTAAATTTCATTTTAGGGCTAATTACCTCAATCTGTTAAGACTTCTAAATCGGAGCATAATGCTGGACTGAATGGAAACATGCATCGTTTGTAGAATGACAATTAGAAACCCAAGCTTAACCACAAAAAACCAAATTCAGGGATTTCATGGTTTAACTTTAACTGTCATTTTCAAGTGTCTTACTACATGTTGGCATGAGACGCAAAACTTAACTAAACACGTCATGGGAAAAATCGGGAGAGAAAAATGTACATTCCTGCCGCTGTCATTACATTTAGACTGTTAATTAATAAGAAGCCTGATGGCATCAGAACGTCGTTGGTGGAAGGTTTCCTCCAATTTATTGTGAACAAATTTGTTCCTTTTCAGATTTCTTGTTCCTTTGTGGTCATTTTAATATTTCACACACAGAAAGAGAGAAACAATGAAGGAAAATGGGAAGGATGGAGGGACACAAGGTAGAAAGAGGACAGAAGATAGGAGGAGAGGAGGGTTGTGGGAAGGAAGTAAGAGAAGATAGAAGGGAGGAATAGAAAGACAAAACGAAAGAAGGAAAACACAAAAAGAACGCACAACTTTTACATTCTCGTTATTTTACGAGTGCCGCAAAAATGATGGCGCATCTGGACTTTTGGCACTTTCCTAATTTTGAATCACTTGAATCTATTCTGGGAACAAAATACATCCTGATTGAAATGACACGACTCGAAGCATTTCTGGACTTTCAGCTTCATTTGGAGGAAAAAGAACTGTTGGTAGAAGAGGGAGAGATAACCAAAAACAATCTCCACCCATTTCTAACGTGATAACTGAGGCTCCATCTCCATTACAACCGAATGACCAGAACTTTCTATTTTGAACTTCTTCCAAAATAGAACAAAAAAAAACAAACACCACTTTCTAACTTGCTCTATTTCTAGCAAACCTGGCTCTTGTTGTTTCTGGCTTGCAAGCTGTCATAAGCCCAGCCGCTGCAACACTTCGTATCTAATCAACGAGAGCCGAACAGTGAGGCTTGGCAGCGAGCTGAATCACTTCAGGATCACGGGCCGGAACAAACCGGACACACACAACACGTCTGTGACCAGCCAAGAATCCCAACAGCCCAACAGACTTTCATGCGATATCAAGCACAAGGTGGAAGACTCACCTGGAAGCGAGACATGACCTAGAAACATAAAAAAAACATCCAAAATGGAGAGAAGGTGCACTGATTTATTGTTACTGTATATTTTTCCCCCCCGCGTCTTATCAGTAACAGTTTGGCAGTAATGGACTGACTCATAGATAAAGAACCTCTTGGATAAATAAAGTCAAGCCACCAGAGACTGGCCTGACCAAAGAAGTTCATTTCTCATGATATTCTTTATTTTCTCAGCTGCCTCCCATTGACTTTGAGACTGCTATACTTGCATATTATTTCCATAAGTAAAACTGTTTTGAATTTTTAGTCCGTGGTGGGAAACCCAAACGGCTCACCGCACAAGATGAGAAAATGCTTCATATTAACTATAAAAGCAAGACATGGTTTTAGCACTATTTGAGGGAGGAACAATGAAACAATTTTTGTTTTCACAAAAGCAAACAAAAAAAAAGACATGGTTTCTCAAACCACAGCTTGTTTTAAAGAATGTCTAATCAGAGCAAAATGTCCCAGTCGAGGTTCAAGCAGTTCAGGGTCCGACTCAAACCCTTTGCCAAACTTGATGCCGTGTTGAAGAGTTAACCCGGCCGTCTGATTCAGGGTTGTGGGAGCAGGAATCCAACACTTGTTCTCCCAACCAAACAGGAATAGTGAAACAGCCCGAGCCTGAACAGGCAGACGGCTTCAAGCTTGAACCGTAAAATAAATCTTAATGTAAATCCACCAATTTTGGAAAAAAAAAGGTAGCTAGCACTACTGATAGACATCTGCGCACAACCACACAAGCTAACAAAGGTGTTTTTTCTTTTTGTTTACGTTTTTTGACAGCTTCAAAACTAAGCTATTTCGCAGTTGCACTTCTTTCGCGTCATGTGATCAACAACCGGCTGTTCACTGGAGGAAGTGACGAAGTGACTGGAGGATGATGGCGCAGCGTGTTTTTTTTTTTTTTTTTTTTAAATCGACATATCGAGTGATTTTATTTGAATTTCTTTTTTTGGTAAAAACACTGCAATTAAAAAAAATTTGTTTTTCAACCCAAACAAAATTTGTAAAGGAAACGCAGTTACTAGCATCTCTACGCAGCTACGTGATTTTAGATGGACAACACGGAACATGTCCGACACTCAAACGGAAAACAAGCAGAAAATTATATTAATGACCTTAGGTAATATTAATAATTGTGTTAATTAAACTACAGCAAAGCTTTACAATTAATAAGGAGATCAAGACTTAAGCGGACTTCATGTCTGAATGTGTGTTTCTGCTGCCTCCGTGCACTGCAGCCGTGCATGGTGCTTCTCAGAGTGCATGTAGAGTCCCGCCTACACGCTGTCATAGAAACGGCATGCATCAGATAAAGTCTTTCAACAGGTCAATACAGATATTCCCCAGCTGCAGGCTTATTCTATGAATACCGCAAAGGCTCACTCAGGCCTTATTTAGAAACCACATGAGCTTTTCCTCAACGCAGAGGCAAAAAAAAAAAATGTTTAAGGCCGAGATAATCCCCGGGTGCAAACATAGAAATATATCAACACACAAGGCAGCAGAAAAATCTGAGGTCTGAGCTCATTACAGAACAATATACGCAACAGGAGAGAATGATTTTCCGAATCAGACGTCGTGTTTGGCTTAAAATGTGAAAGCTGAGAAATGCTCACACTTTCTCAATCCGTCAACAGAGCGGCTCTCAACAGCAAATTAAGAAAATGTGACTAAGCGACGTTCTGTGTCAGGTTTGCTGGTACAAGTAATTTGCTGCTGCAAAAAAACAACAACAAAAAAAACAAATCCCCGGGTGAGAGATTAAGTTAATAGAAATGTAACGCAAAACTCCAGGCAAAAGTAAAAATAAAAAAAGTATTTTAGTCTTGTTTGTGTTCGTCTCTCTTATTAAGAATCAGCGCTTCATTCGAGGCATTCAATAGAAATTTGCATGCAGGAGAAATGCACAAGATTTTCATTTTGATAAGTCCTTTGATCAGTCCTGGCCTGTGACAAGCCCTTTGGAAATTCAAAAGTTCAACCTTTCCCCAATCAGTGAATGCACCACACTAGTACAGCGGACACACAGCATTCGTCAGGAACCACAGCCGCCCGCTGCTTTGCAAAGCGCCAACCAGTAGCGTTGAGTGGGAAAGATGTAGAAACGTGCCACAAACTCTCTAATGTGGATGTTCTTTAACCAAAGGACGCCACTGTGCACCAGAGTATGCAGAAGGTCAAATGTGGGTAGGATCCATGACGTGAACTTGCACAATCAATGTTTTACGATTTCTATCACTCTAGCACAAGAAGTGAAAAATAAATACATCCATTAGGACCAGTAGCAGATGCGGCTGATCCTCGTTGCCATCAGACATTTAAATGTCGACTTGTCATCTGGTGACATACCAGTTCTGATGTCACACGAGAGGAATCACTTAGAATTATCACTGAAAGAAAACAAGCTGAAGACAAAGAGTTGATGGAGGAATACGCTAGTTATGTACCGTTTCCTCTCTTTCTTGTTTTTTACACTGTGTGACCTAGAGCATTATGGGCAATGTCATTTATTTAGCCAACTGTCTAAGCATCTGGGCCAAATGAATAACAGAAACTAACCATGTTATTTGTTGAAACTTGGTGAGACTTTCGCCCACTTCCGTTCACTGTTGTCTTTTTTTTTTAACTGAACCGCTGTAGTATGAATTAATCTTGTGCGTTCATTCTATTGAAGAAGAAAGAGATAATCCAAGTATCATCCAAGTTTGGCAAATCCAAGTTGATTTGCCAAACAACGTTTGGCAAATCAACTGCCAAAATTTCAGTTTTCACCTCTGACTGTAC